TGGAAAAGATGGTTTTTTTGGTTTTTTTGGTTTTTTTGGTTTTCTCGAGAAAAAGATGGTTTTTTGGTTCGAAACCATCTTTTTCTCGAGAAAAAGATTGTTTTGAGCAACCATCCTTCGAAAAACCATCTTTTTCTCGAGAAAAAGATGGTTTTACCAGGAGAAGACCTCCAAAAACCATCTTTTTCTCGAGAAAAAGATGGTTTTACCAGGACAAGACCTCCGGAAACCATCTTTTTCTCGAGAAAAAGATGGTTTTTCCAGGGTAAGATCTCTAAAAACCATCTTTTTCTCGAGAAAAAGATGGTTTTTCGAAGAGCGGCTGCTCAAAAACCATCTTTTTCTCGAGAAAAAGATGGTTTCGAACCAAAAAAACCATCTTTTTCTCGAGAAAACCAAAAAAACCATCTTTTGGAGGCCCCAGCCCCATAGTTTTGGAAAAGATGGTTTTTTTGGTTTTTTTGGTTTTTTTGGTTTTCTCGAGAAAAAGATGGTTAAGTTTTAGGGGTTTAAGCCTCATGCACTACAGGGTTATAAGGTTCTAATCCTATAGGTATTGCCTTAACCTTTAACCCTAAACCTTTAACTTTAAACCCTGCAGGGTTAACCCCGTGAGAAATTTAGAGATAGACCCCGAAAAGACCCTAAACCTTTTTACAGGGTGTAATGGTTTAAAAACCGATAGGACATGTATACCTTCAGCGCCTGTAGGGTTCAAGCCTTTGAACGTGCTAGACCCCTATAGGGTGCTAAGGTTCTGACCCTAAAGGGTTTAGGATTAAGGCTTAAATGCCCTCTAGGTTTAAATGCCTAAGTCTTAAACCCCAACCTTTAAACCTTCATCCTATGGGGTTTGAAGGTCAAGGGTTTAGGCTTGATTGCCGAGGGCTTTAGGGTCCTGACCCTAGAGGGTTTAGGGTTAAGGAATAGATGCGTAAACCTTAAACCCTTAAGGTTTAAACTCTATGGGCTTAGGGGGCTTAGGTTTTTTTTTAAACCCTAAGCCTTTAAACCTTCACACTACAGAGTTTAGAGGTGTTAAGGGTGACAAATTGATTACATACTTAGCTTTAAATGCCTGAATCTTAAACCCCAAACCTTTAAACCTTAACCCTATAGGGTTTAAAGGTTAAGGGCTTAGTGTTAATCGCTGTCTTAGGTTTAAATGTCTGAATCTTAAACCCTAAAACTTTAAACCTTCACCCTATAGGGTTTAAAGGTTAAGGGTTTAGGTTGAATCGTCAGCTTGGATTTAAATGTCTAAGTAAAGAATCCTAAACCTTTAAATCTCATCCCTATGGGGTTTAAGGTTAAGGGTTCAATATGAACTGCCGGCATAGGTCTAAATACCTAAACCTTAAACTTAAACCCTAAACCTTTAAATATCTTAACCCTATAGGGTTTAAAGGTTAGAGGCTTAGCGTAAATTGCCGGAATAGGTTTAAATGCCTAAATCTTAAGCCCGAAACCTTTAAACCTTAGCCCAACAGGGTTTAAAGGTTAAGGGTTTAAAATTAGTTGCAGGCTTAATTAGGTTTAAATGCCTACATCTTATATCCTAAACCTTTAAAAATCTTAACCCTATAGGGTTTAAAGGTTAAGGGCTTGGCTACAGGTTTAAATGGCTAAATATTAAACCCTAAGCCTCTAAACTTTAACCCTACAGGGTTTAAAGGTTAAGGGTTTAAAATTAGTTGCAGGCTTAGGTTTAAATGCCTACATCTTAAACCCTAAACCTGTAAAAATCTCAACCCGATAGAATTTAAAGGTTAAGGGCTTAGCTTTAATTACCGGCATAGGTTCAAATGCCTAAATCTTAAACCCTTAACCTTTAAACCTTAACCCTACAGGGTTTAAAGGTTAAGGTTTTTTTTTTGCAGGCTTAGGTTTAAATGCCTAGATCTTAAATTATAAACAAAAGCCAACAGAAAGCAAAACCCTCCGTGCGTGTGTGAGAGGGTGAATTAAGGAATACAGTCAAAAATCCGGTCACCGGAAAATCACCAGACAGCATAGGTTTTATCGGTATTTGCGGTACTTTTGCAAAGATCAAGGCCCGCGGTGGGTCCATTGGGGGGGGGGTGACCATATATATATATAAATATAAATATAAAGATTTGTAGGCACATGGGCCTTGTGTGTCGGAGGATTCCGAGCTTGCCCGTGAGCAAAGAGCCAGGCCTGGCCAGTTTCTGCTCTTTCAGGGCGCACAGAGTTCAGGGCATCCCCGCACTAAGTTTTGGGTTTAGGGTTGAGGGTTTAGGGTTTAGACGAAGGTTTTCAAATATTTAGCAAACACTGTTAAGGATAGGAGAGAATGAAAAGTTGCAGCAAGACAGGCAAGACAGGAGCAGTAAGAAGCTAAGAATAGTACATTCGAGGGCCGAGGCTAGGAAGCTCCCAAACCTTTACACAACAGGAAGAATATCATTGAATCTGGAACTTAGTCTCAGAGTTCTCAGCCTTGAGCCCTGGCTAGGACCCAGGTTTGGCCCCCTTATTCCGATGATGTTTTTGGGGGCTCCGGCTCCCCCTTTGTTCCGAGGTTGCTCTGGGGCCTAGGGCCTAGTTTCTTTCAGGGTTCAGCGGGGTCAAGGGTTCAGAGTTTAGGGTTTAGGGTTAGTCTCCCTGTTCCGAAGCTGCCCCGCCCAAACAGGGCTTCAGGGCGTGTAGGGGGTTTTATGGTTTCGGGTTCGAGGATTTTAGTTTGTGCAGGCAACCCACACATGCACTCCTAGAAATTCTGAATACCAGAAGCCCTAAACTCCTCAAATCCTTGAAATGCTCGAAGTGCGTAACTGCTTCAACACCGAAACATGGCTCCCAGACCACTGAAACCCTAACTACCCTCAAAGCCATAAACTCTTAAAGCCTCAGGCCCTGAAACCCGTGAAGCCCTATACTCGGAAGCCCGTTAAGTACCGCCGTAAACTCGTCAATACCTTGAAAACCCCAACAACGCTGCACTCCTAAGCCCTTAAAGCCTAAAAACCTCGAAACCAAAAATTCTGAAAACCCCTAGTCACATTAAAACCCCTACTCCCTGATTCCTGGACAGGCGATTTAGCGCAGAGATCTTGCGACTTGGCGGCAGAAGTTCGGAAGGCCTTGTTGGGCTTTGGGGAGTTTTAGGCATTCGTTGATTGGGACGCGTAGGGGTATGTGATCGACATTGTTTAGGGTTCACAGGGTTCCGGGTTTAGGGTTCATCGGGCGCAGGGGAGTTTATGGTTTAGAGGGTTTAGGGTTCAGAGAGAACAGGAGGCTTTTAGGCTTAGTGGGCACAGGGTCGAGAACTCTCAAAAAAGTGTGGGTGTTTTAATGGTTTATGGTTTACTGAACCCTGAGCCCTACCCTCAATGCCCCTGGCCTTGATAGTGATAGAAGGCAGTTGGTAAGCTTCATGCTGAGCGAAGGTTGCCTTTATGAAGGCGCCGGGTTGAACGTATCAAAAGTGCAAACATCGGATAAACACAGGACATGTCGGCGTGCCGGAGAGCAGCCGGGACAAATCCAAAAGCATAAGCCTGAAAAAACGTAAGCTATAGTGCTGCAGCCGATTTGTGACTCCAGTTCGTTGTCATTTCGGCTTACGGCGATGTCTAACAGATTTGTTTTCATGCTTCTCGCTGTCATTTTGGTTTGGTGCAAAAGGTCAGCCGTGTGTGAAGCCTTGTAGAATAGATCCCAGCAAGAACGCACAGGGGAGATCTCCAAGCGCTGTTTGTCCTAACCTTGGTTCAAACCCCAAAACCCACAAAACACAGGAAGCAACCTATGGAGCAACCGCTGCAAACAACGGAAAGCCTTGTCACAAAACCCCCTTACATCAAACCCCCGAAAATCCCCTGCCCCTCTCCCCCCCCCTCTCCAGGAAAATCTACAACCGTCCAGAAACTCCAAACCCTAAACCCTAAACCCGGAACCCAATCAAGGAAGCAGGCTGCGCTGACCCAAGGCTTCAAGAATGGCGACGAGCCTCGGGAGGTGTTTATGCTAGTTCTGGAATTGTCTGGGGCTGAAGACTTGGGGTTTAGGGCTTAGGGCTTCTTCAAGGGGTTCTGAGGTACCGCTGACTTCCCTTACTCCCCAACTAGTAAGGTTTCGGTGTAACCTCACAACCATGGGCCCTACCCCTCAAAACAGATCTTCGGGGAGTAGGGGGTGTCTTGGGGCTGAGGCTGTTGTGATGGTCACAGGATCCCCCGAGTCACTGCCGGGCCACAACCGCAGGTCGAAGGGAACCACCTATCCTCTTCACAGCCCCCTGCTCCGTATCGCCAGATCGCTGCAACGATCTCTTATTCCTCAGCCAAGGAGATCGCCAAGTTGGAGGCCAGCCTTGAGCTGACCAGGCGTGCTGCCCTCGTGTATCAGGTTTGAGGGCTCTAAGGGCTGACAGGGCATTCGGGTTTCGAGGGCCCTTCAAGCTCACGACGGGGGGATGTGTACCGTCGCCCCTTGAAGGAAAAGAACCCGCTTCGAGCCGCAGGAGTCAACCTTTGCACCCCTTGAGTACTTAGCAAGAAAGTCAAGAAGCGTGTTGGGACAAGGCTCCAGATCTTAATTAAGACTTCTAAGACCCTCAAGGCAGCCTTTCTTATACGCAAGGGTGCGATCTTTTGTGTTCGCTATGCTGGGTTGGCAGAGATACAGATATCAATAGCCACGATGAGTGCCCGGACTGGCATAAGCAAAGGGACTCTGTGTGTGTGTGTGTGTGTGTGTGTGTTCTCAGGAGGTGGGCGTTTCTGTTTGCTTCAGGGGACCTGACTTCTTATCTGCTCGCTTTGCACGTTGCAGCGTTGGGCAAAACAGCCTCGAGTCATGGAGCCCATCAAGCCTTGACCGTGACACAAGAAAACCCCCGAAGCCCTATCCATTTCTAGTTAATGAATTGATGCGCATGTTTTGTTATCCGCTGGACCAAGTGTCAAGAACCCTAAGCCCTAAACCCTAAACTGCCAGGTCCCTCATAGGGTCCCTCCTTCGGTCCCTCAATGCTACGAGTTGTGATGATGACCTCTGGTGTGGAAGTGCTAGCCTTGTCTGCGTTGGAGATGGAGGAGCTCGCAACTTCTGGCACCTGGTCCTCGCAACACTTAGGATTAAGGGTGTGCTATAGAGGTCGGAATAATGACGAATAGTATTCCCTTGTGGTCCCCTTACAATTATACGAGAATAACTCCCAAAACGCCCAAAACCCTCTTCTAATTATTAAGGCCCCTATATGAGGATTTAGCGTGTTATCGGGTTCAGAGATTCAGGGTGGAGGGCTTCGTAGGGTTTGGAACCAGCATACCTGCAGGCACCCGTAGAGTGGTTTGCAGTAGTTGCAGTCATTTAAGTGGACCCTCAGCGCTTTCTGCGTACAGCCTTTGTGAAAAAGCGTTGTTGACACAACGTTTGCGGGTTGTCTTCGATTGGTTAAGGCGTATTGAGATGTATTGGGCTCCCTGGCCTGTTTTGGGAATCTTGGACGCAGCTATGTAAGGCGGCAGCACGGTGCAGAATCTGAAGGGGCGTCTTGAGCTGCTGATGGGGCAGCCCCGATTTCGGCAGCGGCTGCTGCGTGGAGCGCAACTCTTGAGCGACGAGACACCGCTGGACTTCCCAGGCATGTTACACCTGGTCCTGCTGTCTCTTTGTAGCCCCGATCCAGCAGTCGGCGACTAAGAAGCCCAGTGGCACACCCTTTTGCCCTTGTGGGTTGTGATTATGGCTTCCTTTTCAACTTAAAACGAATCGACAGAAATCTGTACCTTTTGCTTTAACATGGCTACTCGGCTACCTAGGAAAGGCGCTTGCGACCGCCATTTCTCATGACGACGTGCCATCGCTGGAAGCCCTGTTGTATCAACCTCAGGACCCCAATGCTCAATTGCAGAGAGGCCTCACCTGCTTCCTGACCGAGCCCGTATATGGGCAGTTCTCTAAATTCTGGTCTGTTTTGGGACCCGTCTTTATAAGGGTGTCGTACTATATGGTGTACCCAAAAAGGGACCACAATTTAGGGAACTAACCATATACATTTATTTGCAGGCCTTAGGGTGTGGTTTGGGGTCGGGCTTAGGGGCTTGCAGGGATTCCAGGGCTTGTAGGGTATACAGGTCTTATAGGGCTTAAAGGGTTAACGGACTTAGGAGGCTTAGAGACACTTCTAGCAGAGGTAATTCCTCTCCAGGGCCAGCGAGACCAGCATTTCTCCCATACCGTTCTTAAATTTGAGGTTAGGCTCCCCTAAACACTCTCACCCCTATAAACTCAGAGGTTCCTTAAACCTCATAACCCTAAACCCTAAACCTCCCAACAAAAGGCTTGTGTCTGGCGGCCAAGCGTGGCAGCCTCAAGTGCGCCAAGTTGCTCTTGCAGGCCTTGGCCGACATTGCGAAGCCAGCGGTGCCTCCCCTGATGATGGGATTTGGAAATTACGGTAGGTTTTCGCTTTAGGGTTTAGGGTTTCGGGTGGGCCTGTAGTATGGGCCGTAGACACTTCTTGGGAGACTCTAGGAACCCCGAAAGCATTTGGGTGTAGTTGTAGAAAGCACATAAACCCCAAATGTAGGGCCCAAAGTAAGGGCGCACACATTGAATCTAGACAGAAAGGCTGAGGCTTTTCCCTATTTATAACAGAATCGTTGTAGCACGAGTACACGACAGTCTAGGAAACACAGCGGATTTCCGACCCAGAGACGGCCCTTATTCGCTTTGTCTACAGGTTAGACTCTCTTAGAAAGGCCTTTATTCCTAGGCTACTTGGTATCTATAGTTTCTGGGCAACCCAAAAAAAGAACATCTTCAGGATCGTGGGAGGACGCCCTTGCACTGGGCTTGCGCGCGCGGCCAGACAGAGGTCGCACGTTGGCTGCTGCGGCACCGGGCTGACATAGGCACAGCGCAAGGGAACGGCGCGCTGCCCCTCCACCTCGCCTGTGCTCAAGGGCATGTGCCCGTTGCACGAGTATGCATCGAGGCTCGGGCCGATGCCAATGCATGCCCCAATGGCCCAAATGGCGTGGCACCCATACACATAGCGTGCGGCCTCGGCAATGAGGAGATGACGCGTTTGCTCTGCGAGGCTGCCGCGGATGTCAACAGCGTTGCTGGCACTGATGACTTCACACCTCTGCTCACTGCATGTGCGCGAGGCTTTTTCGATGTCGTTCGTGTCTTGGTGCAGTATGGGGCGTGCATACGCATGCCGGCCAAGAAAATGACGCCGGTGCTAGCAGCCTGCATGAATGAGCAGCTTCAGATAGTGCAATTCCTGCTTGAGAGCGGTGCTGATGGAACCGACGCCCTACGTTTTGCTTGCTCCACCGGAAATACGGAGGCCGTGCGCTTATTCATTGGGCTGGGCGTTGACATCAACAGCTGCGATGACGACCATGGGCCCCCGCTGCACACTGCCAGCACGTTCGGTCATCTCGCTGCTGGGCTTATATGGAGGTTTAGGGTTTAGGGTCTAAACCCTAAACCCTAACCCCAAACCCTACACCCTAAACCTATAGGGTCCAAACATAAACCCGTCCCTCAAGCTTGAGAACCCTGCCAGACAAGGAGCAGCCAAAGGGATGTCCAACGTCCTACAGACACCGCTGAGGCGTAAAGCTTGGGTTGAGGCCCCCCCCTTCATAGATTCATCAATCCCATGTGAAGAAAGAAAGTTGGAAAGTTTGGAAAAAAAAGGTTCAGGGGTCTCAAACAAACCAGCGACTTACACTCGCCCTTGTTGTCACTACGACAATTGGGGCCCTCATGTCTCCACAGGGAGTCAAAAATGGGTTTTCGGCACCGACTGTAATCTCCAAGAAATAACATAGGCCATGGCCATGAACTGTAAGAACATGCAAACACGGCCATCCTAGAGGCGCTAAGGTGTAAGGAATGTACTGCATGATGCTAGAGGCCCTTGGGTGCCAGGAATACTGAGCATTTGCTTTTGGAACATGCTCTCAATTTTCTCAGGGTTTCAGGGTTCAGCTCCAGCCGGCGAATCTGGATTTCTTAGCAGTTTCTTCGCCAGGGATCGGAGCAGTCAAGGTGTGAACTCAAAGATCTGGAGAGCCAGCGCCGGCCACTCCCAGCCAGAAAGCGGTTCAAGAGCCATGGGGTCATGTTCCACGAGGCACTCTCGTAGGAAATCAAGAGGGGCCCCTTCTTCCCGAAAGCCACTCGCGCCGTGAAGATATTTGAGGGCGCCAGATTCAGAAGTCGTAATTCATCCCCCCTCTCCCACCCTAAACCCTGAACCCTGAACCCTAAATCCTAGACCCTAAATCCTACAAACCCTAAATCCTACAAACCCTATATGAGCCCTTCGAAAGCCCAAGGAGATCGCGCGCGTCTTGGTCGAAGCTCGTGCCGAGCTTGATGCAGTTTCACCCAGCACTGGCGCTTCGGCCCTGCACCTCGGCTCCCTGAAGGAGGGTTTAGGGTTTCCAGGGTTTAGGGTTTAGGGTTCAGGGTTTAGGGTTTAGGGTTCAGGGTTTCAGGGTTTCAGGGTTTCAGGGTTTAGGGTTTAGGATACCCTTCCACCAGGAGAGGGTACCCAGTTCTCTAACTCCCCATTGAAGACCACCAAGTCGGCTCTTGGAAGAAGAAGGGTGTTCGAAGAGGGTGTTCATCAAGTCTGTGGGGCTTGTAATTGCAGAATCTGACTGGTTTCTTGGTAGCCCAGTGGTATCCTTGTTCCCTGTTGTCGGGTCTGGCTTCCTCTAGCTTCCCTTACAAAGTAGCCAACCCCAAAAAGGGCACCCTCACTGAAATGTGTGGTGACTGGGCTACCAAGGTTTTGCGGTTGCCCCTAGGCCCCAAGGGTCAGATCCCTGAACCCGAAGCGGTAGTGTTTGGCGTCCTGCTTCCCTCCGTCGTTGCTTCCCTGGTTTGTGGCTGAGGTTCGCTGTGAACCTTAAACCCTAATACTCTAAACCGAAATCCCAGACCCTAAGCCCTGAAATCCTTAATCCTTATACATATATATATATATACACATTAAAAAAAAATATATATATATATATATATATACTAAGCCAAGGAGCATGGCCTGTCTGGAGGGGCGCACAGATCTCGTGCGCTTCCTACTTCAATGCGGTGCCAAGGCCAACCACGCCACTGGGCTGGCTTATTCTGAATCAGGGTCCCTTCCCTGGTGGGTTCTCAACAGAAAAAACCCTGAGTCCTAATGAAACCCCCGTCAACAAAGGGTGCCTACTTTAAACCAACACCCAGCACCCCCACACCCTAAACCCTCGCCCCGCTTCCGTGGAGGTCAGGGTTTATACTGGTTTAGGGCTACCCCCTCACTCGTGGCCGAGCATGTGACGTTGAGGCACTTCGACGGGTTTAGATGTGAGACATGGCTCAGGGTTAAAAGCTTAGGGTTTAAAGTTGTAGTTCAGCTTGGGGACATCGTAGTTCCAGCATCAGCCTTGGGGGATACAGCGGCGCTGCTGGTCAGCATGCGAACGCTGCAGTGGAAGTTAGAGCAGTTAGAGTGCTGGGCAACTAAGTCCACTGACAATCGCTGCACGACGGCGCTGCATATTGCCTGTCTGAAGCTGGGCCGAATAGGACTTTTTGTTTCGGGCCTTCGAGAGTGCATGAATGAAAGCACAGGAAGGGACTTCCTGACGTTGTGCAAGTGCTGGTCAACGGCGGCGCGTGCGTGAATGGCCTATCCACACATGACATCACGCCTCTTTGCCGTGAACAGAAGGGAATAGTCTGCTCCCCGATTTAGAACGCCCCAAATGTACCTCATAGCGAACGTTAGGAAATTTTCTTGCATGTTGAGTATTGGAGGCCAGGCGTAGAGTACCAGCCTGCCACAACCTCCAAGTTCTTCCCATCGCTGCATTACATATTTGGAAGAATAGTATACTGTGTTGAAGGGGAGGACGTTAAATGTTGTGTTTGGACATTTGTGATGCTTCCAATCACAAGGCCTTTGCACGTGGCCTGCTATCACGGACAACTGGAGATCGCGCAGCAACTGGTTCAGGCTCGGGCAAACTTGGACGCGAGAACAGACGATGGCTTTACACCTTTGGACACGGCTCGTGCCTCCAACCATCCTGGTCTGGCCGCTTGGACGTCAATGCAGCTGAGGTTTCATTAGGACTCGTGTAAGGAGCTGAATTTAAACCCCCACCCAGGACCCTGAAGGGCCCTGCTCGCAAGCAACGCCCATGCCTGACTCGACAGAGGCAACGTTCCCTGTGTGTCACATAGCTCTGTGTAGCCCAAATTCCTACAATGCGAGCTGTTTCTGGCTTCGGTGGCCTTTCCTAGAATAACCCCTATATTATGGGGTCTAGGGCCTAGGGCTAGGGTGTTTTTTTCAAAGGGATTCCTCAGAGCATAGCTAGTAACGTCCTAGCCCTAAACACCCTCAACCTTACGCAGCCGCACCCACTTTCGGGGTTGGACTTGTGGGGTTCATGCTTGGTGCAGGTTTGGTGTAGGGTTGAGATTTTCGATCTCAGGGTCTCAGGTTTCGGGTGAGATCGTTTTTGGGCCAGGGCGTCGGTCTTGTAGGAATCTTTTGGAGGGTTTCGGCCCTCTGAGTCTAGAAGCAACTGATGAGGCCATGCTCCTTTGCGAAGGCACTTCCGGCGAACGTGGTCCCAAGCGAAGACGGCGAACGAAGGGGCCGCCTTAGCACTTTCTGGCGGCTCAGTTCATTGAACAAGGCTTCTGAATTGGAAAGAGTGAGAGCTCTGAGAACACCCTACAAGCCCAAATGCAGAATCCGTACAACCATCATGAAGCCCGTGACAGAGTCCCCTACAAGGTCTTATTGGATGCAGGCGGTCGGTGTAATTACCTGGGATTCCAGGTCCTTCAGTATATGTCCGGTGCAGCTCCTTCCTGTCACCATGTCACTTTGGGACTGCGAAAATGTTCCTGCAGTACCAGCTGCACGGGTTGATATGTTGCTGCTACACCCGCCCCGGGCTACAAGCACCCGCGGTCTTGGCACAATGCGGCCAGGAGGTGGAAAGGTAGTCTAGACGTGCCAGAAAAATCTGCATGCAGAACGTTTTGCCCCGTGTCCTAAACCACCAGGTCCTAAACCTCAAAACCCCCAAAGCCCCAACAACCTTATAGGCAAGCTCCACAGGTAAGCTCCACAGGTAATGAAAACCCTCAAGCCTCAAGCCCTGAACCTCAACTCCGACACTTCGACGCGAGCAACTGAAATCTGCCCTCGAAAGGGCTCAGGCTTTCAGGGCGTCCATGGCTAGACGTGCAGAGCCCAAAAAAGGCCCCAAAGTTTAAACCCAACTCTCCGAACCCAACGCTCATTCCCAGAAAGCTTGAACCTCAGTCCCTGCACCCCTATTTCTCCAACTCCCCGACAGCCCATATACTCTGGTCCTCACACTTTCAACCCTGAAGTCTTCATTTCTTGGGCCTGTTGCGATATTGAGACGCGTTAGGGTTCTCGTAGCTGTCCCTGGCCTAGGGCTCAGCGATGTTCCCTGCAGGGTTGATCCCAGACCATGAACCTTAAGCCCTGGAATTCGAGCGACCCCAACCCTAAGACGAACCTCGGGAAATCCACACTGAATCTCTTAACCAAGACGCTTTGACGAAGCACGGTATCTGTACTATTTGTGCTATGAATGTTGGTCGCGCGATCTCAAGCTCTCTGTCTCTCTCTCCCTCTCGCTCTCTCTCTCTCTCTCTCTCTCTCTCTCTCTCTGTCTCTCTCTCTCACTCCCCTCAACCCTAAACAAGGAAAAACAAATCCCAAACCCTAAGCCGTGAACCCTAGCCCTTCCACAAAATATTCGCACATAGGAAAGGGAGTAGGGGAGTAGTTGACCCTAATCCCTAAACCTCGTAGGGCTTAATCCAGATTTTCCGTATCTCCTCCAAAATGAGCTTATGTAACTCTAAACCCTGCACCCAAACTCTAAACCCTAAGCAGGCGGACACAGCTGCACGCCTTCTTAGCAGCAGATCCCAGACAGGAGGCGCCTCCCGAAAGAGACCCATAAGACCCCATTCTAGGACACCAGGGACCTAGATAGCGAGGAAGGATCCCATCCGCAAGGATGCCATTTGGCTTAGTGTTTAGGGTTTAGCCTGAACCCAGCCAGGCCTTGAAAGGACCTAGTAATTGGGAGGTGCACTTCTTGCATGTAGGCTTGAGTTCGGGAGCCTGTTGCAGCTTCGGGGTTAGCTCCAGAACCCTAAACCCTAACCATTTCTGTTGTCCTTACAGCCGCGAGACGTTCAAGGACCAGCGCAGTATCGGGTCAGGACAAAGGGTTTCGCCTTTATGACTCATACGGGGTCAGGCATCAGGGTTTAGGGCCTTAAATTTTGACATGTTGGGCTTAGAAGGTTAAGAGCCTTGGTTTTGGGCTTGGCAGCTTCGGGGGCCTCACGTAGCATAGAGCGAACCGTACCTTAAGGGTACTTGGAATATAAATAAACAAACATCAGTTTGTTTACTTATTTCTTAAACGTGCTGCCAGCACGATCAGCTTGCCATTGCGAGCTGTCGCCATACGTGGCCTTCAAACCCCCTATGTAAGCCTATATAGGGGTCCTAGCACCTCAAGAAGGGGCCCAAAACTAAAACACATCACCCCTAAACCCTGAACCCTAAGGCCTAAACCCTAAACGCTGAACCCGAAGCCCTAAACCCTAAACCCTGAACCCTGAACCCTAAAGACTAACCGCAAACCCCTAAATCCTGCCGGTTCAGGGTGGCCGTACGGCCCAGCTGGAGAAGGCGCTGCGGGAGAACTTGGAGGAGCTCCCCACACAGGGGTTTGGGGTTTAGGGTTTCGGGTTTAGGGTTTAGGGTTAGGGTTGTTTAGGGTTTAGGGTTGCTGGAACGAACTTGCTGGGGTTTGAATGTCTATAGCATAATGTGTGCGCACGTAGTTCAGGTCTTTAGGGTTTGTGTTTGTTAGGGTTCTTTTCTTCGTTCAGATTCTAGGTACGTATAGGAAGCATTTTGAGTAAGGTAACGAACACTACAACCTTGTTTAGCCTCCTTTTAAGTCGTTTTTAAAAGGCCCCTCCGTTTGGGAGCCACTTTGCTATGCTTGGTATTCGGCGCCCTACCCTCGACTCCAAGAGCCTTTACCTTTAGAAACCCGAAAGAAACGAAGGAAAACATCAAAAACAAGGAAACGACCAGGGAATTCGCAGCGCGTTGGCCAACCATGAACCTCCAAGCCAGGCCCTGGAAACCTGAATCCCAAAGTGCAAAACCTTCAACACTAAACCCCTGAAATAAGGGTTTGTGGTTTAGCGCTTCGTCCTACACACCCCCTCCCCCCCCAATCATATAGAGACCCTAGCCATAAGCCCTATAAGGTTTTATACTGCTCCTAGTGTCAGGACATCTCCGTCAAGTCCATCCTGGATTTCCGCGTTGCCGGCGAGGGCGTTCCCGCGGCGGAGGCTTCAGCCGGCTGCAAGTGACAGGGTTTCAGGGTTCAGGGTTTAAGGGATCGAGGTTAATGGCCTACAGGGTTACGGGGGTTATCGGGTTCATAGGGTTCAGGGGTTATATGGCCTACTGTTTCAGGGTGGTCACCAGGGGTTTTGCAGATGCTACCCTCAGCTGTTGTTGCGGGATTCCGGCTGCATCAACATGGCTTTAGGTCCTAGGTTGGTGTTTCAGGGGGCACCCACTCAAACTTAATCTCAGGCATCATTCAAAAGCGACGCTTGTATAGTTCGCAATAGAGACTTGATTTTGACCTTAAGCCCCAAACTCTCTCAATCCCCTGCTTTCCAGCAACTGCCTCCAGCCACGGCAGCTTGCCCAAGGAACCCTAAGCAACAGTTCCTGAACCAAAAAAACTCCTTCTCATCACAGACCCCCCCCCCCTCCACCCCTGTCAAGCCTGTGCCCTAATGAGACCTTAAACCTACAGCAGGCTTGAAGCGCATGTCCACAACATGGCGAGCATGAGAGTCACTACCCTAAAACCCGCAAAGCCCTAAACTCCAAAGCCCTAAAGCCATCAACACCTAAACCCGGCAACCCGAAGCCCGAATCCCTCAAACTCTGGCACTGTTCAGGAAGCACTTGGGTTATAGTCTCGCCTGCCTTACGAGTAGCCTCTACTCATGACGAGGACCCAATAGCGAACCTGCAAGTAAACCATCAAGTCTTACTAAACTCTAAGCCTGACGCTCTGCAACATGAGGCGACCGCCACCGCTGCGGTGTGCGCCATCGCTAACATCGACGACGCCTGCCGCAAAATGACCAAGGGGTTTAGAGCTTTGGGGCTTCATTGGGTTTGGGGTTTTAGGAGTCTAGGGTTCACTGTTCGACCCTAAGCCCTTCTAAGCCCTAAACTCAAACCCCCACCCCATGGTATCTAAGCAGCATCCAGGGGGCTGTCTAAGGGTGCAAATGAACTTATTTGGCACAAGTAAGGGCTGTGTAGGTTTTGTGGGCCTTATTCAGGCCGGGAATATTTCGGTGGGGAAGGGTTTAGAAGTCGCGAGATTCCTTAGTCGTTGACGGCATCCCGAGATCCCTTGATGGCATCCTAATCCTTGACACTCTCCACCTGATAGGGTTTAGAGCTTAATTTTTAGGGTTTAGGGCCATGAAATCTTAACCCCAAATCACCACACACGTAAGCGAGGAGACGGCGCCTGTGCTGTCCATCCACAGCCTGGATCCAGAAAGGCACGAGCTTTGGGCTCTGGGCTGAGGGAGGTACTAAGCCCTAAACCCCTTAAACCCACAACCCTGAACCACCCTAAACCCCCCAAAGTTCTGGAAACTCCAAACCCCTAAACCCTTTTCCTCGAAACCCTCAACGAAACATGGAGGGGATGCGCTTCGTCCTTGAGGGGCCCGCTGGACGACCTCTGGCGGGGGCGAAGGTGAGTCAACACGCAACCGGCCTTGCCAACCTGGGGGCGGCATGTCTGGGGTTTAGGGTTTAGGGCAAGTTTAGGGCTTGGGGCTTGGGGCTTAGGGTTTAGGGGGGGATGTCCTCTTCGGGAGGCACGGCCGGCGTCTCTGCACACCTGGCTCGACCTCGAATCCCTTAAGCCCCTAAACCTTGAGCCTGACCCCTACACCTCCCAACCTTTAAACCTCTGATTCCTAAAGCTGTTTGGAGTCGGATTAAGGGTCCAGAGCGGCTACAACCCGAACCCAGGCCCCAGATAAGGCTTCTTCTTTACCATTTTCAGACACAGTTCGGCCGTATTCTGGATAGGAGGTGACTTCAGCCATGGGGTGGCGTAGCCCGAAACCAACCCCATGGTATCCCATGATGTGGAGTCCATGCCCCTAAGCCCGACACCAGTTCCGTCCACGCAGGGCCTCGCCCATGTTGGGGCTTGTAAAGGGTCCAGGGCAGTTTAGGGTTCCGTTTTGAGGTTGTTTTAGTCTTCAGGATTGGTGTTTTTTGTTTGTCGCTACTGGCTGGGTGCAGTGGGTTGGTTACGTTTGTGTAACGAAGGAATGCCCTGGCTCCCTAGCCAAGTGCTTTTTTTGCATGACAGGTTGTTCTAAATTAGAGTCCCTCTGCCGGGTTTTGGGTGTCGCGCTCTTCTCCAAAAGGATGCCCCCGCTTGGCTCCCTAGCCAAGTGCCATAGGGGGGTGGGTGGGGGGGGTTTGTTCCAACTTTGGGGTTCCCTTAATAGGCAAACTTCTTTATCAACCGAAGCCCCGACCCGAAAGCTGAGGCTGTAGACACCTTGGCAGCAGACCAGAACCCTTTCGCATTTGGGGCAGTAGAGGGGTCCCCTATTTTAGGAAGCATCCATTTGGAATTTTTCTATGAGGGTTCAAGGGCCAAGATCAAAACGGGAAGCGTGCCTTCATAGTTGCCATGCTTTTTAAGTCATGGAGACCCCTAAACCGTTAAACCTCTAAACCCACCCCTCACTTTTTCCACTCCGAAGAAAAACCCACAAACTCCCCAACAGCCTAAATTCCCAGTCCTCTAGAAAGTCGCGCAGGCCGTGGGCCGAATCCTTGGAGGTTCTCAGCAAGCCAGGGCACTTCATCAACACACTCCGGCGCTTCCCGCAGGTCTGGGTTTCAGCGGGTCGAGCCGGGGATGTGGCATGGAGAGCCTGAGATTGGGTAGCAGCCCTAAGTGGCATCTACTTCCTAAAGGTCCCTCTTGGAGAATCATGGGGGCACATGTAAGTTTAAGGCGGGGTTGTAGTGGGTTCTTGGGGTCTTGGGGTTTGGATATGTGGAAGTTTCAGGTTCAGAGCGCCTGCAATGAAGGGTTTACGCTATATTATCAAAGCCGTTCCACAAGGTCACAAGGTGCCGTCTGCTGAAGTGATGTCTCCAGACACACTGCCTTCATGCAGAGTGGAACGCTCATCGGGAAGCTCGAGACGACATTACACGGCACGTTGGTCGGAAAACCACATGAAGAGGAGCGGAAATCGAGGATGATCAAGAATCTTGGAAACGAGCATCGGAGAGAAAACGCATGTGTTTATCAAAGTACACGGGCATGTAAGAAGGTAACGCAGTTCCAACCCTAGCAGTCTTACTTCTACAGGCGAGCTACAATGGACCATAATGATAATCCCCACAGATAACTACCCCTAAGCCCTCAGCACGCTTAAACACCAAGACCCAATGAGCAAACCCCAGGTATACCTAAGTTGTACAGGAGCCTAGGGGTCCCGAAGCCCTCGGCCCTGGTTTGGGGAGTTGAGATCCAAAGGCCCTGAACCAAACCCTGCACCCTATGCCCCTCAACCCCAGAAAGTCAGGCATCGGCCAGGGGCTCCGTTCCAGAGGCGGGGAAGCCTTCTTTTCCAGCGCGCGTCCGACTTCGGATGATTGCTTATGTCCTAGGTACGTAGCTTGTCCCCTCTGCTCGGGGTTAGATTCCACTCTTACAAGCCCTATAAACATAAGCCGACAGGTGTAGCCCTTTTTTTCTCCTAGGTTAGGCCCTATAAGCCCAAATCAATCCCTAAAGCCCAGCAGATCAAGCCTGTTGGCTGCTGCGCTTTTAAGGTCGATTCCGGGCTTAACATTGAGGGAGCCTAGCAGGGTTCATTTAGGGGTTCCGGTTTTTGAGAGTCACAAGTACCTGGGCATCTTGTGCCTAACCTTCAATCCTAAAAGGACGCCATGCACCCCGAAGCCTGACCGGCGTGCGGCTTCATGATCTCCAAGGCGCACTGGCCGGGACCATCCGTCGATGCCCACTGACGACCAAATAGTTAGCATCGCACAGGCGGCCTTTCTGCAGGTCTTCTTCCGCCCGCTCCGGAAGCGTGGTCTTTCGTTCGCGCACCATGCGACTTCAATCCGCGATCCAATCTTGAAAGAAGGTCTCATACCCGGAGGTGGTGCCGGCAACAGATTAGGCAGAATGCAGACCCACCAGCCTGGGACTCGAGAAGTCCGTCTACCAGGTCAAGTTTCAGGGCCCAGTTTACGGCAAGGGCTTGTTGCTGCGTGGCCTGATTTTTGGTCTCTTGGGTACCCTGTAGGCTACAGAGTGAGTTTTAGGGCTTCAGTGTTTGGCCTCTGTTGTTGCAGGAGAACATTGTGGCGGCACGGCATTTCCTGCCGCTCGGCTGCATCGCTGGGATTAGCCCTAAACCCTAAACCCTAAACCCTATATGATTCTACATCGCCAGTTCCCTAAAATCACGGTCCTGCCGTGGGGTTCCTGTTGCATTACGGGCTTTGGGCAAGGTTGCCGAGCTTGTTTGATGCCGGATGAGGGACTTTCCTTTCAACCCCGCCGGCCAGTGGAGGATATATGGGCCTATAAGCCCCCCTAAACCCTAAACCCTAAATCCTATAAACCCTAAACCACCTAAACTCCCAACCTGAGCTGTTGAGGGTTCAAGGGTTCAGGGGTTCAGGCATCTTGGATTTCGGGCCTTCATACGAAGCCAGGCAGATGGCACAAGGCCATCGCGACGCTGGCCACCCAGCAGCTTGGCAGGTTTCAAGTTTCGGGTATCATGTCGAGGTTCCGGGGTGGGGCATTTGATGTTTTGTGGGAGGGGTGAGAGTGGTAGCCCTAAGTCACGGCCACCGTAAGCTTGCAACCCTATGTACATCATCTTCAGTCTTGCTTGTGTATAGCAGCCTTCAGCTGTCACCATGTGATGGTCAGAGAAGAGGAAGTTGGGGTCTTGATTCTTTGTCCCATCTCTATCCGCATGAAGCCTAAACCCTAAAGCCCTGAGTCCGTGAGGCCCTGACTAGCTTGGGCCGGTGGCTGACTACGGCCGTGCAACTTTGGGAGGCTTCGCGCCAGGGTGTTGGAGGGAGTTAAAGGCATGGGTTGTAGAGATGTTAAGTTACTTAGAGCCCTACTTGAAAATTTGGGAGCATATGTAGGTTGCTTGTCAGGCCTTCCAGGAATTTCCAAGTCGCTTCCGGTTCCAAACTCTAGTGGTGTAGCTTCGATGTTCTGTTTCGGGGGCAGAATGCGCAGGGGCCACGGGGGGCAAAGGCAACAGGGCTTCGCCGGTGGATTAAACTGGTGGCAAAGCCCACTGCACAGTACTGGCATCAGAGCACCAAAGTTCAGGATCCCCAACTTAGGATCCCGACTCCTTGAGTCCCAGGGTGTGGGCTTTAGGACTTCTTGGGCTTCGAGGGCTTAGAGTGTAAGCTTCGAGTTGCTTCAAAAGCTGTACCCAGTAAACATGCAGGATCCGCTATTTTTCTTCCATCTCCATCCTATCTTTATCTATGAGGAGTTTTTCACTGTTATTCTGGTCTATAATTAAGACGTCCAGTAGATTTATTTGTTTTGTTTGCTTTTGGGTATCTTCCATTTTTCTTTTTTTGCTGAGGTCAATTCCTGTAGACAACTTTCTTTCTTATGGTCTCATCTTGACTTTGCATGACTATCTTCCTAGTTGCAAAGCCAGCTCGATCCCGTGTGAGGCGCAGCATGTGCAGGCCTGCCCTTTGCACTGCAAGTTGAGGGTTTAGTCTTCAGGCTTTGGGATTTAGGTTCAGGGTTCAGGCTCTGGCCCCAAAGTCCTCAACCCAGACCCGGCCCCCAAACCGTATGAAACTCAACAAGGTTTATGATTCGAGACTATAGGACCAACATATCTGAACCCTAAACCCTGCGGAGTGAGGATTGCAGAGCATAAGGTTGTTGGGTCTGGAGTTTTGGGTGTAAGGATTTCAGGGCTTTGGGGCTTACGGGGTAGGGCTTGTAACCATACCACCATGCGGGACGTGTGCTGTGCTGTGCTAACCAGTCTATGACCTTTCTCGTTGCTCTCCTCCCAAGCCCAGAAGTCAAAGTCCAAAGGGTGGTACGCCCCCTACCCAATGTTACATCAGGGGCTCGGTTTGCCATCCCAGGGCTGCGCGCCTGTGGCCCAAGGTTGTCCCAGATGCGGGAAAGCTGCGGGCCCGAAATCCTAGACTTGAGCCTCAATCCTCACATCACACGAAATCTCACATCCTATAAACCTTGCATGATCTCCCAGCTGCACCAACTTCGGATCCAGCCTCACGGATGGCTCGGCACGCCAAAAGACAGCCCATCTCGTTCGGGTCAAGTCCCGAGTGCAAGCTTTGTTCCCAGCCAGCACAATTGCCAGTTCCAGGAAGTCCAAGACTTAGGGTTTAGGAGTCTGCCGGCTTATAGTGCCTTCATTGCGTATTGCGCATTTTGTCGTGGGGGGGTCTCTCAGGGCCGTTTAGCGTTTTGCTGGAGCTTGTAAGGGTTGGAGCCTTGCCCTTGTTCAACATGGCGTTCGGATTTTTCAATGCTCATCGTGCCAGGGTTAGGGCTCTAGCAGCTTGAAGGCTTGAAGAGAGGGGAATTGAGAAGAACCTTCGCCTGACACTACGGCGGAGGCGGAGCGGGAGCCCGTGAAGGCGCCGCCACCGGCGCCGAAAGCTGCCACTCGCGTCCACGTCGCGACTCGCTTGGCAGCTTGAAGATTGTTTCCTCGGCGCTTCCGGGTCCTAGCTGCGAAGTCAACTCTTCAGCGTTCAGGGCTCATAGGGCTAAGGGCCCAGACACCCCTTTATGGGTGAAGCATTCCAGGGTTGACGGTTTAGGGCTTGGTGGTTCAGGGCTCAGGGTTTGTTCCCCCCGCCCCGCGGCACCCTGCGGACTTGTGCCGCATAAACCATGACAAACTGTAGAAGCCCAGGAGGTCAACCACAAGCCACGCGACTTCCGGCCGGTTCCACGCCACGAGGTGGGTTTGTGTTTTTAAGTTTGCCGCAAATCGAAAAGTTTAAGGCCCGAAACTCCCAAATCAAAGCTTCAAGCCCTTACACCCACTTAAGTCCCCTTAAAGCTGAAGTGCCCTTAAGCCCCACAGCCTCAAGCCATCAAAGCTTGAACCCGAAACACTGAAGCCCTAAACCCTTAAGCCGGCGTACACGCATGTAGGAAGAGATGTGGCGGCTGTAGTCGTTGCACACGCTCTCTGCGCAGATGCTCGTGGACTTTTTGAAGAAGAGCTTCCTTCTTGTCTTTTATCAACAGGTATGAGTCATCCTGCTGGATCAGCTATCTGACTTTTCACTACTTGAGAACCTTTCGAGCCGCTCCACGAAGCATTGATGCACTGAACCTCTTGGAAATTCTTGCTAGTAATCCAACTCTTTCTCGCTCTTTCTCTCTCTCTCCCTCTCTCTCTTTCTCTCTCTTTCTCTCTCTCTCTCTCTCTCTTGTTTGGGGTGGGTGGGGGTATTCGGGTATGGGTGGCTTGGTCAGCTCCGGGTATTTAAGCTGTTGTCGGGGGGAACGTGCTCCTGGGGCTCCTAGGGTCCTCAGTCTGATGGCTTAATAGGTATCCCCACTCCCCAAGCTTTAAACCCTCAACCTCATCCCTAAAGCCTGCCTAGGCTCCAGACTTGGGATGTTCCCTTTTATACCAGCAGCCCCTTCGTCCGGATTATAGTCTCCCCGATTATATTCCCGATGAAGGAGCTGTTGGAATAGGGGGAAATATCCTACACTCCAAACCGTAAACCCTAAATGCCTAGACCCAACGAAGGTGCGGCGGCCGCTGGTTGGGCCCGGCCTGCCTCCCAGACATGCGGGGAAATGGCCCATGTTGGGGTTAGGGTTTTTGGCAGAGTTAGGGGGGGCCTTCATTCCCTCTGCTTACGACGAACCTTTTGATGACGCCAATTAGGTGTAGCCGTTTTCTCCTAGGATACCGGGAAGCCCATGCGGTCAGGGATTGCCGTTTCTCAGCCCAAGTTCAGCCCAAAACCAGATCAGGAGGCTACAGGCCCCAAAGAGGTCCCAACCCCGACAAGAGCCCCCCCATTAATGGGAAAGTCCGTGTTTGTATTTCCTCATTGTATGTACAACAGTCGGAAAACGTCTGGAAGTATCCGGCCTCCATGCGTGCAAAACAGAACAAGGTAAGTGTCTAAACGCTCGCCCGTCATCAGAGACTGCTTAGCCCGATTGAAAGCGTCTCTACAGGATCGTGGCCAGGATAATCGGGTTCAGACTTTGGGCTGAGGCTGAGGTTTCCCACATCGTCGGCATAATTGTTATAAAAATGGATCTGTGCATCGCCCTCTGCCTGTGGCTTATCCCTGCAATTTGCCGTTTAGTGTGTTTTCTGCTCCCGAGGTTTTGGAAAGGCCAGGGCATAGCAACCCTAAACCCTAAACCCTAAACCCTAAACCCTAAACCCTAAACCCTAAACCCTCTGAACAAGTCAGATCACAAGACTCCTTGAGTATAGCACTTGGTGGAAAGATAGGTGCCCGAAGCTATCCCTGACTGAGCCATGAATGCACCCTAAACTGTCCCAATCACCAAACCTTTAATGGGCTTGAGGTTTAGTTTTGTTGTTTAGTTTTTGTTTTGAGGGGAAGGGGCCCTGACTTCAACCCGGGCTGAGGGCAAGGATGGCATAGTTCCTGCACAGATGCCAAGAATTGTCGAAGGCTGTTTTGGTGTTTTGGTGTTTTAGGGTTGAGGGTCGAGGGTTTAGGGTGCTTAAGGGAGCTGTCCAGCTGTCGATTGCAGGCTTTACCCGTGACTCCCAAACCTTACAAGTTAGTAGGTAATCCCCCCCCCAAAAAAAAAAACTCAGGGTAATAAGTCGTAGGTACATGGAGCCGCGGGTGGGGTTTATGATGTACGGGTATTCACTGTGGGGTTCGGATGTTTACTGTTTTTTCCCCAGAGAATGCCTTATGGCAGCCGCAGCCGTTGCGGCCGGAACCGTGCAAACGAGAGGCAAAGTCCCCCATGCAGAATTTCCCTGTAGCCCTAAACCCTAAACCCTAAGCCCTAAACCCCAAACCCTAAACCCTAAACCCACCCTGCAAAGAAGTAGGCAGCGGGCCCTCATCTTGAAGGGGTGTAGGCCCCCAGCCATAAGTCCCTCAACCCTCAACCCTACTTGCAACATGCAACCATGCAAGCCACAGACCCCTGAACCCTGAACCCTAAACCCCAAACCCTAAACCCTAAACCCTATACGTAGAGCTTAACACTTTCCACCCTCAGCCCTGAACCCTGAGCTGAAAGCAGAAGTTCATCCTTCGGCTGTTGCTAGCTGCTGAATACCAGGCTGGCCGGGAGGCGGAGGGGGCGCTGGGTTTGGGGTTCAGGCTGAGGGCTCGGGATCTAGGGTTGAGGAGGTAGGAGTTGGGCATTGGAGGGTGTTTAGGGTTGAGAGTTTGTTCCATGCGCAGACATCAGTAATTATTGCTTTGCAAAGCAAGTGATGGGCTCTGAGGGTGTCGCCTCCTGTGGGAACGGTATGGTCAATCAAGTGACTTCCGGAACTGCAAGCCGTCGCCTCGTAAATCCTAGGCCGCCCCAAGCCCTACACCCTGTGAATTGTGGACATTCCAAGTTGGCGGTCGGATATGTTGGAGCACGGTGTTGTGCTTGTGAAGAGCAGCCCGAGAATCCTACAACGTGACATCAAAGCGTCGGAGAACCCGAGCTGTTAAATTCCGCAGTGCTGCCGAAGATTCAATCGATACCAATAGATCCTTGTAGGGGTAGGGGGGGGGGGTTTCGGGTTCAGGGTTTAGAGTTATACGGTTGAACCACTCACGAGCTCCAGCACACCCCTTCGCGAAGCTAGGAGGATTGTCCTTTGGGGGGTCCTATTGTACTGCCGAGCCTTCCAGAAGTAGAGACCCCCAAAAAAGGGCCCATACTTTGGGGTTCAGCCTTAGGCCTTCTGGCTACATGCGGAGGTGAGCCTACCATGCTGCTGACAGAGAGCGAGCACAATGATCCTGCCTGGTGGTGGTGGATAAGACTGCTGCTGGCAGCTGGGCCCCAAAAAGCATATGGTTGCGTATCTCTCTCTATATCTACATATATAATGTACAATTATATGCTGGACCTTTAGCCGCTTTCAGGCTGAGGCTTCAGGGTCTTATCTACATATATAATATACAATTATATGCTGGACCTTTAGCCGCTTTCAGGCTGAGGCTTCAGGGTCTAACCCTCTGCTTGTTCTGGTCGTGCGGGATCAGGCTTGCATTCCGAAAGGGGCTGCCTTAGCCTAGATCGCGGGGGTTCGCGGGAGTTCCAGCACCCGGGCCGGGGTTAAGCATGACAGACGTATTATGACTACATAACCGGTTTGAGGAGTTTGCAGGGCTGAAGATTTTGCAGGGGTCACCAGATTAGGCCTCAGGACTTCTCAGGCCCAGTGTGAACGTTGGGGATATGTTTTACAAATATTCGGGTGGGGTTTAAGAGGAAAATGCCCCCCGGGCCTATTCTTCAAAGTGTTCAAGAGGGCCAACCTCTGTTTACGGTTCGGGAGTTCTAGGGTGTTGCGGCTTTTCGTCTTTCGGGGCAGGTTAATTGTCGTTGATGGTTTGTTTGGGGGCCTGCGACTCGAAAACCAGTGTCATAATGTTACTCAGAGGTTTAGGGTGCACCGTTTAGAGTTTTCGGGAGGGCTTTTGGCTAGAGTTCATCTGCAGAGTCCGAAATCCCCTAAAACCCCAAAAGCCTTCACAACGCAACTTTCGGCGCTTGCCCAGGTAGTGATCTATTTTCTGGTGGCCTTCTGGAAGGCTTACCAGTACAGCAACTCTGTGAAATTCTGGGCCTCTCGGCACCACAGCAAGTTTCTGAGGGCCTCGGGTTTAGGGCTTAGGGTTTAGGGTTTCGGGTTTCGGGTTTCGGAACACTCCTTGGGAAATGTGCTTTTCACTCTACAGAACTCCAACTTCGGTGGCCCCAAAGCCCTAAACTCTACGGGGAGTTTCATAGGGTCCCCCTGTTTAGGGTTCGGGGTTTAGGGTTTGGGGTTTAGGGTTTAGGGTTTGTGTTTGTTTTTGTATCTTCAGGGTGGAGGGATCTTCCTTTAAGGGTCGGTAGGTCCGTGAAGGTGGGCTTCGTGGGGTCTCGCCCCTAAGTTAGGCTTCGCCTGCGTGGGTTCGTGGGACGAACTGCCCTGGGCTGAAGACTGCGCCTAGTGAGGGACCCGACCCCAATTGACCCACAGCGCTTAAAGCCCGATAGCGGCTGCAGGACTTCGTCGACGACTTCCGACAGAGCTTCCAGCGCAAGTGGCTCAAGAAGCAGCTGACATCCGTGGCCCGGACTTGGGATTGCAGGGTTTGAGGGTTTCGGTCGTCCCTAAACTGTAGGCCTGGGTCGGTCTCCCACAGAGTATCATTCCGTGCGTTCGAGTCTGTTTCAGGACAAACTGTAGGCCCCTATAAGTCTTATCCTCCTACTCTTTTTTGCCATTGTGAGGGGGGCTGCCCGAGCCGCAAACTGTCAGCTGCCAACTGCCACCCCGTCTTCCTCGTGACGGCTCAGGCCTCTTAAGTCACATCTGCATCGGGGGTTCAGCCTCTGAAAGGAAGAGCGACAGAGAGAGTCTACACATGTACAAAAGCGTGTGTATACATGTACACACACACACCTGACAGATATTACAATCATGCCCCACAGGCTTCAACACACAGCGACCCAAGTCCTAAACCTTAAGCCCACCACACACCCCAAACTCTGAAGCCACAGTGGAACCCTGCCGCTGCCCCAGTCCCATAAGCAGTATTGAGGGTTTGTTTAGGGTGTGGGTATTCTGGGCTTAGAGTTTAGGGCTTGGGGGGCTGGGGGGTGGTGCGGTGTCAACCCCTAAGGCCATAACACCCTGCTATGAAATCGTAATATCGGCAAGGAACTGGTAGCCGGTGGTATCCGTATGGACTTGTATACTCAATTGCGGGCCTCTCTACAATCTACACCCCACTTACAACTTGAAACTTGGGGGGGGGCCTTCTCCTTCTTTTGCTTCAAAGAGGTGCTCCCGGAGATGAGCGAAAATGAGAGCGACGGCGATGCGAGGCTCGCATCTGGAGCTGGTTAATCAGACACTGCGGCCGCTGCAAATCCTCGGCCCCAACCTCCCCCCCCCTTTTGGGGGTTTACGATATTGGGGGTACCATTACAAGGGCATCCTACTACTTGGGGGTCTGTGCTAGGGTCCCTTGTTATCGTAAACCCCCATACCCTGCAGGAGCAGTAAAGGCAGACATGTCTCAGAAGCCTTTTTTTCATCCTCATGCGGAGGCTGCTTTGCTTTGGGACCCGATTAAGCGACTCTTGTACACCCCGCATACGCCAGGCACCAATGTGGAATGCCTTTCAACTTCCCTTACTGGTTAGTCTTGATTGCAGAGGGTTGGAAAACCGGTCAGTTGTTTCGAACAGCCCTCTGGTTCTAAGGAGTCTTCAGGGGTGCATACCCCGTATGAGCCTTATCAGGCCATGTAGGACATGTGTTCTCCCCATAAGCCTCATTAGGCAACCTATAGTCCACGGATCTTAAAAATGAGTCCCGTCACCCCACGCCGTTCTGCGAAGCCTATCCCTAGTCTCGAAACCTCTGAACTCCCGAAGCCCCTGCAGCTCCAAGCCCTCACCTGGAAACCGTTCCGAGAGGCACAAAAGCTTCAAGATGCAGCTGGCTTCTGGGTCTCATTTGTTGTTGCACCCGTAGGTTTACAGGATCTATGGAGCCGATGGTTTTTAAAATGAGGATTTTTGAGAGGCATCTTTTGATGCAAAGTTTTTGGATGTTTTTGAGTGGGGGTTTTGAGCGTACCTTGCGTCAAGCTAATTCTCTCGAGGATGGCATCGAAGCGATCATCGCCTACGAATCTCTCACGCAGGTGCTTGCTGCAATGCTGAGAGCTGTTTTTTTTTTTTTTGGGGGGGGGAGGGCTCCTGGGGTTCCAGGCTTTAGGGTCTGCAGTACTTATAGGATTCTTCTGTCAGTTGTTCGAGGATGACATTCCTCCCTCCCCTCCACTACTCATTGCTGTTTGCTGTGAGGCTCAGCACAAAGCCCAAACCTATGGTCAACAAATAGGCAGTTTGGCTGCCCCACACAAAGGCCGGCACCATGTAATTACGGGTCTAGGGCTACGGTTTAGGGGTTTGTGCTGGTGTGCTCACGTTTTTCCGAGAAGAAGGTCATGCATGTCGCTGTGAAGCGGCCCAAGCCCGGTGAGGGGCAAACAACACATGGCCCGGTGAGGGCGCACGCAGTTTTTACATGCACAAGGCATCGCAGGTATAGCACCTGAACGAGTAAGACCAAGGATTTCGTGTCGTTGCTGTTGTGGAAAAGGAAATTCGGGAGTGAGAGCTCTACATGCCATGGCCAACCCTGCAGATTCCATGCCTCCTGGGACCTCCAACCAGGAGGTTATGAGCCCAAGTGGTGCTCGCCCTACTTCGCCGAGAATGACAACAACAGCTGCGGGGCCCGAGAGGGGCCAACCGGGGGTCGTAAGACCAGCTTTGGATGGTGGAGAGGCTCATGGAGCCCAACCGGAGGCCGTAAGGCCGGATGGTGCGCTGGAAGCTGGCGGCACTGGTGTGGCTGGAAGTGTGGATGGAGCAATGGTTTCTGGAGATAGCATGGACTCTGGGCATGGTACAAGTGGTCAAGTGGCAAGAGTTCAGGCCTTGGCGCTAGCCTCTGGAGCGGTGGTTGCAGGTGGCATGCAAGCTGTGGTGGCCTCAACCTCAATGACGAGGGAGGTGGAGCCGGCCGGTGAAGCTGGGGACATGGGCATGCTGCGTGATGGCCTGAATAGTGGAGGGCATCAACAACCTGGAGGTTTCAGCTGGAATGCGCAAGGCAGTCAGATGGGAAGAGAGGCACAACCGCGTGGTGCGATGCCGACCTGGGTTTCTCGCCTGGGAGCTTTCTTCCAGGCTATGGGGCAGTCACAGCAGGTGACACCCCCGGAGTGGATGCCGAGTCCCTTTCCGTCGCCTATGACGAGACCGTCGAGATCGCAGAGGGCATTGGAGTCACCTACGTCGCATGGGGAACGGGATGAGGCATCGAGGACGCCTTTGTTTGATGATGAGCAGAGGCAACAGATGAGGGCAATGGAGCAGCGAGCTCCACTGCTGTATGGTGCCACCGGGGTGGGACCGAGGCCTATGGATGGTGGTGGCAGTTCTGGAGGAAGCACCTATGAAGCGGTGAAGGAAGAAGTGCGTCAGCAGCTACAAGGACAACTGCAAGGGATGATGAGGGAGTTGGAGGAGTCGAGAAGGGAAGCAAGTAGCTTGAGAGAAGAGATGGGAAGGATGCAATTGGAGCGAGAACGCATGGGAGAAGGGCAGTGGCCACATGCAGCAAGGTCTCGTCCTGGGCAGGGATGGGGCCAACACCTGTGGAATGGTCTGGTGGGGGCCTTGCCGGGTCCGTCGGGCCAACTTGGGCCACGAGGCAATCCTGGTGCGCTACATCCAGTTCAACAAAGAGCTTTCCCCGAATCTCAAGGCAATCCTGGTCCGCTACCTCCAGTTCAGCAAGGAGCTTTCCCCGAATCTCGAGGCAATCCTGGTCCGCTACCTGGGGGAAGTTTAGATGGTTCACCTCCAGTTCAACAAGGAGCTTCCACCGAATCTCGAGGCAATCCTGGTCCGCTACCTGGGGGAGGTTTAGATGGTTTACGTCCAGTTCAGCAAGGAGCTTCCACCGAATCTCGAGGCAATCCTGGTCCGCTACCTGGTCGTTTTTTGAACGGTCAGAGTGACGCAGCAGGAGGTCGTTTTGGCTTTATGCCATCTGGTCAGAGTGACGCAGCAGGAGGTCAAGAGCAGCCGTTGGTCTATCCACGAGGTCCACCACAAGTTCTGGGAGGGCACCTTAGTCAATCAGGAAGTGCTGTGCAAGCAAGACAACCGCCCGCTGGGGCATCTGCAGTAGCGCCGCCGGGGTCGGGAGGAGAAAGGCAACAGCCGTCAATTGGTCCTGGAGGTGATCCCATGAGCAGGCTGTTGGAGGGTTTGGAGCGGGTGATTACGAAGTCCCAAAGGACCGAAGACGTGCACAGCCGGTGGGGGACATTCCGATGCTTCCCGCCTTGAGTGATAGTGCTAGCGTGGACTTTGGGGACTGGCTCCACTGCCTGGAGCACGCTATGGGAGACCTCTCAACTTCGTCGGCGGAATGGTGGCAGGAGGTAAAGGATTGTGCCAAGGCGTACTATGACTCCTACCAGAAGGCAGATCACTTCAATCGGCTCAACCTGGCACCTTTGGCTTCCCCTGTGCTGCAGGAGGCAAGGTGGCAGCGCGTTGATCGGAGGGCGGCCACGCTCTTGTTGGCATCGACGCCTGAGGACATCAGGCGGGAACTTGTGGCGTCGAGAGTGAGATCTTCGCTGGAAATCCTGAGCCGTTTGATGGTGTTGTATCGCCCGGGATCTGTGATGGAGAAGAGTTCTTTGCTGCGCCATTTGGAGTCGCCGCCAGCGACAAGTACTGCAGCTGAGGCCGTGGATGGTTTGCGCTTGTGGTGGAGGTACTTCCAGAGGGCCAAGGATTTGGGGGTCGTGATACCAGACCCGTCGGTGCTCCTCCGAGGTATCGACGTCTTGGTGAAGAAGCCGCTGTTGGACCACCATGAGGTGGCCTTTCGTATGAACCTGGTCCGCTACCAACTGAAGGTCGACTTCGTGCCGGTGGAGGACAACGTGAAGGCGGTGCATAAGGCTCTCCTGGCGGAGTTTGAGCAGCTGGCCTCCAGAAAACCAAAGGGGGTGCCGGGCAACAACTCGCCATCGACCACGCCTAACAGTCCTCAGGCCAGACTGAAGGGTCTTACAGGTGGGGCAGCCAACAACCAACCCAAGGGGGAGAGTGCTGGGTCGCAAAAACCCTGCAAGTTCTTTGGTGTTTCGGATGGTGGGTGTAGACGTGGAAAGGCATGCCGGTTTGTCCATAGTTGGCCGGACCGGGATGCAAAGAGAGAACGGTGCTGGAACTGTGGTGGGAAGGGCCATCAATCGAAGGCGTGTCCTACAAGGCCGGCGGAAGGTACCACTACGACTGCGACGGCTTCTACACCTACCACTCCGACGGCGGCGCAAGTGCAGGCGAAGCCGATGCAACCAGAGACCCAGAGGACGATCAAGGCGGATGATGTGGCCACGGTGATATCGGAGGCGAGTACGATGGCGTCGTCTCCAATGGCAACGAGAACTACGCTCGATGATCCTATACCTGGCACGCCTATGGACATGCAGCAGATGTTGGAGAACGCGCAGAGAATGGTCAAGTCCTTGATGGAGCACAGTGCCACGATGAATCACCTCGGCTGAGAGTGAGGAGGTGCGAAGAGCTCAGGCCCTTGGAACGTTGCCAGCAGTTAGCAAAATGGGGCTGTTGGATAGTGGGGCCACTCATGCACTACGACCGGGCACTGTGGAGGAGAAGAAGAAGGCCGCGAAGGTGGAAGTTGCGCTGGCCGGGGACACCAAGATTGAGTTGCCTCAGTCGGACAAGGGAACGATCTTGGGGGACAACCAAGCTCAACCAATTGTGCCCCTTGGAACCCTTGTTAGACAGCTGGGGTATGAGTTCGTCTGGAACGCGCGCGGATGCAGATTGAGACACCCCAGCCGACCTGAAGTACAAGTCTACACGCGGTCGTCGTGCCCGGAAGTCCGAGAGTGTGATGCTCTGAGGCTCATTGCGGAGTTGGAGGGCACCAAGGCCGATGAAGCGCTGAGGACCATGCAGGAGCTGGAGACGTCGATCAAGGTGGCAAGGTCGCATGAGGGAAGGAACTGGGCGGATTTCTTGAAGGACTACGTCGTAACGGGGGATCCCTCTGATGGTCTGCGAGCCGTTCTGAGTGCGGAGTTCATGTCAGACGTGCCGTTTGAGGACAAGATCCGGATCTTTGAGAAAGTCCCGCAAAGCAACGAGGAGGCCTGGAAGTTGATGAAGTCGCTCCCATTGAATCGCGCAAGACGGAGATCCTTGTGGGCAAGCCGCCGATGGATTGTGCACTTGTTCTCCGGGAAGGGGGAATCCTCAGATCCGATCAAGACCTTGACCGGGTGCAGGGTTCAGGGTCCACGGGGTGAAACACGTGAGGCATCTATGGCAGAAGTGCTGGAGATTGACCTTACTCAGTCCAAATCGTGGGACATCGCAACCAACGGCGGCATCTTCGCGCTGCTCTTGTGGGCGGCCTCACAGGGGAAGATACATGCCATTGTGGGGGGACCGCCTTGCAGGACCTTTTCCCTTCTACGACATCGCGAACTGCAGGGGCGTAACAATGCACCACGGCCGGTGAGGTCGGCGCAACATCTTTGGGGTCTTCCTGGGCAACTGACAAGGGATGAAGAAGCACTGGTGAGAGGTGACAACAACCTGATCTTGCGCATGGTGTGGCTGTGGCTGGTCGCAGAAGCAGGCTTGGACATGTGTTACCCGAGAAGGGATAGGGGTCCGGCAGTGGCGTTTGGCATGGAACATCCCGACGACCCGCGCGAGTTCTTGCAGCCCGGAGCAGTGTCCAATGAGATCATGGAGAAGTGTGCATCGTTTTGGAGAACGAAGTTGGTCGAGCACATGAAGAACAACGGCATGCACATGTACCGGTTCGATCAAGGCGCACTTGGGCATCCTCAAAGGAAACCGACGGGGTTGATAACTACCATGGAGTTGGACGAGATCAGTGGCTTGAAGGATACGAGGCGCGAATGGCCGGAACCCGAGAACTCGAAGGACATGGCTTCTTGGGCTCCGGGACTACGAGAGGCACTGGCGAAGGGGATCCGTAGATGGGCATGGAGAGGCGAAATCTCTGTGGCGATGAACACCTTCACCCCGAAGCAGCTGGAAGAATGGCGACGTCACGTTGAAGCGGGGCATTGGCCGTTTAGAAGAGATTGCTCGGTATGCTTGTCGGCGGCGGGAACGGGGCGGCCGGCGAGAAGGGTGCTTCACAGGGATGCCTACGTCTTGAGCCTGGACATTGGTGGCGCATTTGCTGAAAAGGGAATAGACGAGCGGAATGACAATGGGAGGGCCAGCAAGTACAAGTTCGTTTTGGCCGCTACCTATGTGTTCCCGAAGGCCTTTGATGTGATCTCCAAGGACATGCCAATACCTGATGACATTGATGAGTACCTGGGCCAGGAGGAGGTGGAGGAAGAAGGTCCTGAACCAGAAGCAGCTGAAGAGGAGGTGGAAAGGAAGGAGGACAAGGACCATGAGGAGGAATGGAAGAGACTGGTGGGCGACTTGAACAAGCCCCAAGAATTTCAGGTCCTTAGGTTCGCAATACCTCTCGCCAAGCACAAGGGTGCGGACATCCTCGCGGCGGTCCAGGACCTCTACATCTACCTCAGGGCCAATGGGTTTCCACTGGCCAGGATACACTCTGACAGGGCACGTGAGTTCAGGACTAAGCAACTGCGAAAGTGGTGCCGGGAGCGGGACATCTACCAGACCTACACGGAGGGTTTGGCCCCGACGCAGAACGCCATGGCAGAGAATCAGGTGAAGTGGCTGAAGGCTCGGGCACGTGTGTTGCTCACGGCTTCCGGCTTGAACAAGAAGTACTGGCCATGTGCAATGAAGCATGCGTGTGCAGCGCACAACAATCGTCAGCTTGGAAAGACAATGACGCCGATTCAGTTCGGGTCCCAAGTGATGGTGAAGACAAAAAAGGATGTGGGGCCTTTCGACCCAAGGTGGGAGGAGGCAGTGTACCTGGGTCCGGCCGATGATGTGCGTGAAGGGCATGTACTTGAACTGGCGGATGGAACCTGGCACAGAACGTTGCACATGAGAGTGGTTCGGGATGATGAAGTACCCTCTGGTGGAGATGAACCATGGGTGGCAGATCGCGTAGATCCAGGACGGCGAGTTCGTGGAAAGAGGCGATTGGAAGATCCAGATGGCCCGGGAGTACGTGTGCTACAAGAAGGGCAAGGAGATGGAGACGAGGAGATCGCGGAGCAAAGGGCCCACGACAAACTTGAATATGACAAGTACGAGGACGAGGATGCGCTGGAGATCGTCCGAGCACTTCAGTTGACAAGTGGTCCGAAAAAGAGGGGAACACAGGGCTTTGATTGGTGTGGAAGTTGGAGCACGGGGGCCTACGTCCACGGAGGAGTCTGGGGCGTGCAAACCAACACGACCAAGTTCCCAAAGGTCACCCGTTTCCTCACCACCTTCCTCAGGAACAAGATGAAGGAGCCAATGCCGTTCGGAACCATCGTCGTGAACGTGAACCAGGAGCTACTACCTCATCGTGACCTACACAACGAGCGAGAGTTCGCGAACTCGGTGTACGGCATGGGTGACTTTTCTGGAGGAGAAGTGTGGGAGCAGACGTACCTGGAAGAAAACACGGCGCTGGATGTGTACAGGGCAACACCCAAGGGATTGGTGCGTGGAAGAACTCTGGACGTGAAGGGCAAGATCCAAGCTCTGTGGGCTCACAGGTGGCACGCGACGATGCCGTGGACAGGAACCCGAGTCACCGTGGTGGGCTATGTTCCAAGGAAGTTCAAGAATGTGGGATCTGAGAACTACAACCTCTTGCGGGACATGGGTTTCATGGTGCCTGTTGGGGCAGATGAGGAGGAGGAAGACGATGTTCAGGAGCCGCAGCAGAAGGTATTGCAGGGGAACGACATCGAGAAGGGTGGTGGTTGGAATGAAAGTGTTCATGTACCCGGGGGACATGTGGAGCTGGGAGTGCACTGGACAATGAAGTTTGTGCGTGAAGGGGATGGAGGCGAGGGTGAATTGAGAGCAACACCAACGTTCCCCGTCCAGGACCATGTTCGTGAAAGAGTACAAGAACGACTTCTATGGGCACGAGAACTGCTGGAGGAAGAAAGGGCGATATGGGAAAGACAAGAGAGGCAGACGGGCATTGTGGATGAGCATGTGAAGACCGTCATCAACAACCTGGAAGAGACCGTCGCCTACATGGAGCTCTATCTCATGCAGGACAACCAAGCTCATGTGGATGAAGTTCGCTTGAAAATGCTGCGTGTGAACAAGGTTTCGGTGGAGGAAGCGGTGACCCAGAATGTGGAGCAGCTGCTGCAAGGACTTGAAGGGCCCTTGGAAGTGGTGCACAACGTCAGCCTACAGGAGGTAAGAGAGCACTTGACCGACTGGGTGCCGAGCATGAAGAAGGAGATCGCGACGCTGGAGACATCCGGGACTTTGAGACCAATACCTTTGTCTCAGGCAAAGCGGCAATCTGAAGCGGGTGAGTTGATCTTGGTGCCGGGCAAAACTGTGTTCACGGTGAAGCCGCCGGAGGATGTGAATCAGAGCAAATACAAACGGAAAACCCGTTTCGTAATATGCGGGAATTTTGTCAAGGATGGTGACACCACGGAGCTCTACACCGCGAATGCAAAGGCCGAGAGTGTGAGATGTTCACTGGCGACTGCGGCGAGTCGAAACTGGGAAGCAGCTGGAACGGACATTAACAGCGCCTTCACCTTGACACCGATGACGGAGAGTGCTACGCAATACGCGGTGACGGCTCCGAAGATTCTGGTGGAAGCTGGTGTGGTGCCCCCGGGAACAGCGTACAAGGTGGATCGAGTCTTGTATGGCTTGCGAGAGGCTCCTCGTCTGTGGGGAATCTTTCGGGACAGGCGGATTCGCAACGCCCGCCTGACGGTGGATGGGCGCGACATGAAGTTCATGCAGCTTGAAACGGACGAGTCGGTGTGGCGTTTGCATCCGGTGGATGATCCACAGGAGACCATCGCGATGATGGTGGTTTATGTCGATGACGTGTTGTTCCTCGGCAAGCGGGCCCACATCGAGGAGATGTACTCATGGCTGGTGAATGGAACTGAGGAGGAGGGCGCTGGATGGAAATGCAGTCCGCTGGAGTTTGTGGGAAAGGACCCTGTGCGCTACCTGGGAATGGAGATACGCAGCAAAGATGAAGGACGGAGGGATCGCCTATCACGTGTGTCAAGGGGGCTACATTGGAGATCTCCTGCGTGAGCATGGTGTGGAAACATGGACTCCGTCGTTGGTACCTGCAACCCGGGAGGCAGTGCCACAGGTCCCCGAGCCGGAGGATGGAGCCGAGGAGGCAGAGCCGGATCCTTCGGCGGTGCATGCTGCTCAGAAACTGGCTGGGGAACTGTTATGGCTCAGTATGCGGACTCGACCTGACGTGAGCTTTGCTGTGGCTCATGTATGCAGTGCCGCTACCCGATGTCCTGAGGCTGCGCTGAAACTGGGGCGCATGGTGTTGCGCTATCTTCGTGACACAGTGGACCTCGGCTTGACCTACGATGGCACAGGACCGACTGTGCTGGCTTATTCAGACGCCAGCTATGCGCCGGGAGGCGGACGCAGCTTCGGATGTGCTGCGACGATGTTGCATGGAGGATTTGTGGCTTGGAGAATGGCGCGACAACCCGTGATATCTCTCTCGGTGGCGGAGGCGGAGTTGTATGAGGTCATCAATGCCTACCAGCAAGCCATGAGCATCAAGGAGTGGATCAAGGAGATTCATCCGAAGGTGGACGTCACCATGTTGATCGACAACCTGGCGGCACTGGGGCTCGCGTCAAGTTCCCCGGGAAGCTGGAAGACACGTCACCTTAGGATACGGGCGCGATTCCTGCGTCAGGAAACAGCGTCGGGGCGTCTGGAGCTGAAGCACTCCCCGGGGGAAGTGCAGGCGGCGGACATGGGAACGAAGGCAGTTCCTGCACCACGACTGCGTGATCTTCGTGTTCTTTGGAAGATGATGACAGTTGGAGAGTTCCTGGAGGGCCCGAAAGAGGTGATCCTGAACGGGGTCAAGGTGCCGGAGTTGGAGGTTCGCTTCAACCAGATGAGGATCATGATGATGTTGGTGGTATGTGCCTTGGTAAAGGGCACGCAGGGAGCAGAGCTGCCCCAGGAGCCTAAGAAGGACCCTCTGCCCTACGACGCTGGAATCGAGTTCTATGGCTTGATGATGCTTTGTGGTGTGGCGATGATTGGAATCTGGGAGGTGATGAAGTGGTGCCTTGGAAGATGCTGTGGTAGTGATGAGGCTACAGTCCGAAGGGCCCGGAGACTTCTGCGAATCCGAGATCAGACAACGAGAGCCCTTCAAGAGGAGCTGATGGGATCGCGGGCGGAAGAGGTGCAGTCCTCGCCTCCTGTGAGTCAGGGTTCTCCTGTGGCTATGTCATCGTCGTCGTCAGCTACTGCGCCAACTACACGATTGGTGGAAAATGTGGAGCCAGCTCGGACAACCACGGCGGTTGCCGAGGAAACACAAGTGGGCCAAGTGCCCGACCCGCCTCGTACGAGGCAGAGCCCCGAGTACGACTTCGAGCTCTTCACAGGTGTCTTCTACAAGTCTGAACGTGGAGAAAAGGTGCACTTGTTCCACTGCCGTGGAATGAGGGAAGTCCGGTCGCGCGTGACGGAGTACCAGGTTTGTTCGTTTTGTTTGGAGCGCTACCCCTTGTACTACCGTAGACCTTTCAATGATGCTCTGCTACGCCGACATGATGGACATTGAGCACCCCGAATGAGACACCTAGTGGGCAGCGAGCCCACAAGGCGAGGAGGAGTGCTGGTGTGCTCACGTTTTTCCGAGAAGAAGGTCATGCATGTCGCTGTGAAGCGGCCCAAGCCCGGTGAGGGGCAAACAACACATGGCCCGGTGAGGGCGCACGCAGTTTTTACATGCACAAGGCATCGCAGGTATAGCACCTGAACGAGTAAGACCAAGGATTTCGTGTCGTTGCTGTTGTGGAAAAGGAAATTCGGGAGTGAGAGCTCTACATGCCATGGCCAACCCTGCAGATTCCATGCCTCCTGGGACCTCCAACCAGGAGGTTTGGGTTTAGGGTTTAGGGTTTAGGACCTAGCCTGTAACGAAGATCAGATCCCAGCAGGTCATCGCGCCTTTCTGCGTCTTCACCGTGGTGTTGTCCCTGCTCAGACACTTGGTCTGTGCGTCAATATGTTTTTTGTTTTATCTTGGTAGCCCAGTGATACCCTTTTCCCTTTTTTTGGTTTAAGGTTCCCTTAGAAATTATCCAACCAAAAAAGGGTGCCCTTATTATACTATGGTTACTGGGGTACCAAGTTATGAGACCAACAGAACTCCAAACCCGGCCAAATCCTCAACCTGAAGCCCAAATCCCAAACCCCTAGAGTTGAACCTGCATGCGGCAAGCTCATCGGGCTCCATTCGCGGTGAATGCAAAGCCCTTGTTGAGGTCTGCTCCAAAAGGGGCATCTCGTAAAGGTATCTCCTACAATAGACGTTCCACTTCCATACCCCAAGTATAGCATGTGCTCCCCTGCGAAGGGGCATCCCAAAAGGGACTCCTACTTTTCGCCCCATGCAAGTTGCCTTGAACCCTGACCAACATGTCACGTCGTGTTTTGACTGGGTTCGGGTTCACATATTATGGCCTTGGGGTTTAGGGCTGAGAGCGCTTGGGGCTGTTTAATTTTCAAGTTCAGCCCAGGGCACCTGGCAGTTGCAATGAGGTTTTCAGAGCTTACTTGGAGTTGGGGTTGGGGTCTTAGGATCTAGAGTTGAGGGTTTTAGGGTTTACTCTACATAATTCTTGCGCCCCCAAACCAGGACGCCTGGACATTGCGGTGGACATGAGCCTTGTCTACGGTGACACAAACGTCGCGACTCGGCTGCGAGACCCTGAGCTCTGAAGACGAAACCCTCGGGTTCGGATGTCTGGTCGGCGTGTGGCCTCCTTTGTTGTTCCCAAACTTATGCTTTAGGGCGTAGGGCTTTTGGGGTCTAGGAATCTGGGAATCTGAGTGCTTTAGGGTTTAGAGCATAAGGGTCCCGGGGTTTAAGTGTGTGATTTGGGGTTTAGGGTACAAGTTTTGGAGTTTAATCAGGGCTTAGCAGGGCTTTCGTGTGTTTTAGATCTTTATCCTTTAAGGCTTTGGGGGCTTGAAGCTCCAAGTCCCAGGTGCCCATGGTCGTCACGGGCCTCGTGTGGCTCCGAGGCGCGACCAAGGTTCATAGCGCGATATACCGCGAAGCCCCATACACCCTATACACCTCAGCCTAGAAGCCCTATAAAGCCCTAAATACCCCAAACCCTACTAAACGCTTGCAGGTGTTTTCTAAACCGCCTAAGGTACCCAAGGGCCCCTATTATAGAGAACCCGCCCCCCCCCCCCCCCACCCCTCCTCCCCCCCCCCCGGGGTCAGGGTTCAGGGTTCAGGACAAACAAAGGGAATCCCTGTCGAGCAGGCATCATGTTGGCACTTGGAAAGAATGGAGCCATCAACGGATGTGCAGGGCCCGGGGTTCCAGACCCTTGCATGTCGAACCCGATAAACCCTACGGCGAGTTTTAGGGATTCTTCCTGATGCCTTCGAGCCAGGAAGAGCATTTTGGGGTTTGGGGGCCAGGAAACCCTGAAGAGGCATTCCGCCAACTCCCAAACTCCGCCTCCTACTTTGGCTCCTCCTTGCAGCCTGGTTCGGCCCCCATGTCGCACTGCTGGTTGAGGAATTCTGCAGGTACATTGGCTGGGGTCGAAATTGAATTTTCAGAAGCGTCGCATGTGTTCTGGTGCCTAGACAAAAAGGAGTATGCTTACACTAGAGACCCGCCCCACATTTCAGCGTCAAGTGCAGGCATAACAGTTTAGATCGTCTGAGGGTGAATGGAGCGGTTTTCGATTTTTTACCATGCTTATTCCTGCGACATTGGCCACACACGATACTTTGGGGGGGGGGGGCGGCTGATAAGGCATACCTATTGACAATCACTGCGTTGTTTTGTCCTCGCTTCGCTTGTGCGCAGATGGCTCCGTGTCTGACGGGATCACCCGGTTTCGTGTTTAGGGTTACCCCAGAAAGGGGAACCCAGCAATGTAGTACCTAGATACGTATAGTTGACCCTGCTTTCTATTCCCCAAGCTGGCTCTTGGCCGGCCAAAACATTGCCTACATCTCTGTTATTGGACTTGGATGGGGTCATCTCCCTCCACCTGCAGGCGCGATACAACGCAGCACATCATTCCGGCCATCTATCAACAGCAGCGCAACATCCTAGAAGTCATAATTCTCCCCCCATCCCCCTGCGAGATCCTTCAGACCCTAACACCTTCAAGCCCTATAGTGAACCCCTTAAAGCTCCGAAACGGCTTAAATCTCGAAGCCCCAAACCCCGCCTAAGACCCTAAATCCGAAGTCCTTAAACCCTAAATACCCGGAACCCCGAGCCCTAGGCTACACCATCGTCCGGCACCTCGTGGTTCAGAACTGGCGCTTTGTGGAGGAGGCCTCCGCGCGAGCGTAGGGGGGGTGGAGGGTGAATTGGGGGTTTCCGGTTCAGAGTTGGGGTGTAGGGGTCTTGGGCTGACAAGGAGGCGAAGTCTGTGTGATTTTGGGGTCCTGGGCTCAAGGCCTCAGGAGAAAGCAGAGGTCAAGGACTGGCACACATCGTGCCCAGTTGTCCAAAACTTGAGAGGCATCGGTTTAGGGTTTAGGGCTTGGGCCTGATTTCTGTAAGGTTTCAGTCTCCGAGGTCCAATAAGGTCTTAAAAGTCCGAGTACGTACCCTTCTCAGGGTTGCGGTATAGCAAAAAAACTCATGTTTCGCCCTACCTCTATGTACCCATGAGCCTCCTGGTATTGCTAGAAGGGTTTTGGGATTCGTTGGAGGACATGAGACCTTTGTTTCTGACTCCATGGCTCGAAAAACTATGGCCTACAGGGTTTACGCGCTTCAGAGATACCTCAGAGAGTACACGGACAGAGTGTGGTGCTTGAGGGTTTAAGTGCTCGGGCCATGAAGCACTAACTATAGTTTGCGGCTTCAAGATTTAGGCTCAATTCTGAGTAGCTTGCACAGGGTTGCACTCGAAGTTGTGGTATGGGGTTTCGGTTTCGAAGTGCTTACACAAGAAAATCTTACAACGAAGCTCCCACGCGGATAAACCCCCTAAGTCCTGCCTAAACTCCTACACCAGGTGTGGTTGAACCACATGGTGTTCGTGACGATGATGTCCATGGTTCCGACCTTACCAGGGGCCCGGGGCAGGGTTTGTTTCAGTTTAGGGTTCAGGGCTCAAGGGTTTTTACCTCGAGACCTCAGTTGTTTTGGTACGGCGCAGGCACAGGGTCTTCGAGGACCTGAACCGCACAGTCTCAGGTGGATTCGCAAGGCTTGGGGCTTTAGGGTTTTAGGGTTTCATATGCCCCCGAATTGCTGTGCCCTGTTCAGGTTCCTGGTGCAAAGCGGATCTGATTCGAATGATAGTATCGAAGACGCACTGCTTAAACCGACCAAAAGTGTAGTAAAGCACCTAAACCCTAAGCCAAAGAACAACTCTAAAACCCTAACACCCTAACACCCTAACACCCTAACACCCTAACACCCTAACACCCTAACACCCTAACACCCTAACACCCTAACACCCTAACACCCTAACACCCTAACACCCTAACACCCTAACACCCTAACCCTGAGCCCCTTGAACCCTAAATCCTAGGTTATGTGTATTTCCCCTTGTCGGGTCCAAGGAATCTTATCTAGGAACATTGTTCAGAGGGCTCAGACCCTAAACCCTATAAACCTAAAGCCTACGGTCCTACCAGGCCCTGCGACTACCGAGAGCGCTTATCTTCGTCAACATGCTCCTCTACACTGAATGGTTAGGGTTGAGGGTTTGGGGCTTCGGGTTGTGTTCACCTAAGGACCCCCTGCAGGTAGTGCCCCCCCCCCCCCCCCCCGCAAACAAAAAAAAAAATGCCCTTTTGCTCTTCCCCCATCCTCAGGCCTTAGTAAGCCCGTCAACCCGCAGACATGCGGCCAGAATACTCGAAGGCTTATTGCATGCTTATTGCAGGACCCCCCCCCCCAAACAAAAAGATAAAAAACAAGAAGAAAACACAATAAAAACAAAAACTTATATATATATATATATATATATATATATGTATATGTATATGCGTATATATATATATACAAAAAAAGCACGGAAGCAGGGCCACCCGTTGGAAACTTGTAATTATAGACCCTCCTTACACTAAAGTCAGTCCAACATTACTTAAGGAATTGAACCGCACAACCTGGGGTTCAGGAATTTGGGGTTGCAGGACCTGCAGGGGCCTTAAGCACAGGACCCTGAGCCGCCGAAATCTGCAGTTTGGTGGTAAAGCTGCTTGTCATGGCTTTCGGGCTTCCCGAACCCTAAACTCTAAACCCCCACACCCTGAGCACCCTGAACCCTTCGTCACCTGAGGATCCTACACACAGTTCTCTTCCTGTCGCTGCTGCTTGGCTCCGCTGACGAAGTGCTTCCTAGGGCTTAAGGGTTGAAGCCTTGGAGGCCTTGGGCTTCCAGTATGAGGGCAGCAGTCTTTGTAGGCATCATGGTGCACTCAGGGGAGCTGAACCAAAAGAAGAAGGCCCCATGAGCCAAACCCTGAACCCCCTTTGCCAAGGACCATATACCATGGCACGTCTGAGACCAGCGTGTCCCCCGGGATGCAGGTGGCCGAAGGGGATGCTAGAGGGCAGCTCTTCGGTGGGTTTGGGGTTGAAAGGCTTAAACCCTGAAGTCCCGAGCCCCAAACGTGAAACCAAAAGTTCAACCCACAAGCCGTCTCGCAGATGTGGTTTAGGGTTTAGGGCTTCGGGCTTGGATGATTTTTTTTGGAGCGGGTGGGTGGGTGGGGGCTGGTTTTAGAGGCTCTTGGTGGTTTGGATTTTCCCAAGTCTTTCCCCAAAAAGGTACTTGTAAGCCCTATTTAAACCCTAAATCCTGTAAAGCCTCAAAAGAGCCCTGTGAAACCTAAGATTCCGATACCCTATGAACCCCAAACCCCTAACGCCCGTGAAGCATCTCTGCACCAAGATATCCAGACCTTGTGTTGCCCTTGTCAAGACGCATGGTTCTAAAGCATGTGCGGGTCGGGCCGCATTGTGCCGCCGCGTCTGCGCTTGCTGCGCCAATGCCGGCGGTCGAATGCCTGCCGCTGCGCGTGGAGAGGATGAGATTCGGCATCAGAGCGGACCGGTTCCGCAAAGCTCACTGCTTGATGGCGCATGCTGCCTCGAAGCTGGAGATGCTACAGAGGGCTTTGGGTTTAGAGTTTTTTTTTCTGGAGGGGGAGGGGTTGACCTTTAAGGGGGCTCTGGTGGTTTGGTTTCCCCAACCCGCCCCCCAAAAGGGTGGTGGCTGTTTTCGACCCTTTGAGATGTTCGAGAGCTAACCCCGCGGACCCACAGAACGGTAAGCCCTAAGTAAGCCCTGAGCCCTGATGAAGCCCTGAACACCCTAAGAACATCTAAGAAGCCCAGGAACCTTATGAAGGCCTATTGAGGCCCAGCCCTAAACCCTGTAACCACTAAGCCCGAATGACGCCCTAATCCCTGTGAACCTTACGCCTATTTACCCTAAACCCAAAATCCCCTACGAACCCTAAGAGGCCTCGACAAAACCCTAAGAGTCCTGTGAACCCTTAATCCTGTCAAGTCCTGAGGGTTGCTTGTACTAACAGTCCTTAATAGGGATGATAGTACCCCCTACTCTGACTGTCAGTATAAGGGTGAAAGTCCCAAATCCTAAACCAGTAGATGTCAGGCGCACCATAGTGTGGTCCGACACCCGCGAACTCAAAGTCCTCCATCCTCAGCCCGAAGTGGGGAACTGCTTAGGGGTTCGCTTTGGGGTTTAGGGTTTAGGTTTTTTTTGCGGGGTGGGGGTGGGGGTGGGAGCCTAGGGTTTAGGGTACTTTTGTTCAGGGCTTGGGGCTTGGGAGATTGTAAGGGTTTGTGGTGAAATTGGGGTCTTGGGGGGCGGGGGTGAGGGGGGGGGGGGGCTCAAAGACACGAGATTGCGGCTTTCAGGATATCTAGCATGCAGAGACAACTCCCAAGAAGCTCAAACTCTACACCCAAGACCCTCAATCCTAAGCCTCAACTAAGGACCCTTTTGTTCATCTTGAGTGTTTTACAGGGTCTCCTGGGCTTATAGATTCATGCAATCCTTTACTCTACCCTCGCGGATACCTCCGACCCAATGTTAGTCAGACATAAGCAAGACTCTTACACCATCTCTTTTTGTGCTTAGGGTTTAGGGGTTTTCTTTCGGGCTTCTTCTGTGGGGTGGGAGGGGACCGGGCTCAAAGCTGGTCAGGGTGGGGGCAGTAAGGGATCCCACCATGTGAGTGCTTGACCTTTTTGTGGCAGGTCCTGCTGGTGTCGATCATGATGCTCTGTATGCATTACAGCGCTGTGGCTTGGCTTTGTGGCACAGGAGCCCTGGAGAGTCAAGCTGCCCTAAACCCTATATGTATTCATGATAGTATGCCCAAGGCTGAACCCTGAATCCTTAGAACCCGAAAGATTTTGTCCTAGGCTATGATGGCCGCCCACCCCAACCTCCCCACGATCTGCGCTGTTCCAGCTGTCACAACAACGTGGGGCAGGGGGGGGAGGGGGGAGGGTGCGGTGGCTTAAGAGAAAGAGAAAGAGAGAGAGGGTGGGAAATAAAGAAAGAGAGAGAGAGAGAGAGAGAGAGAGAAAGAGAGAGTGAGAGACTGCGAGCTCAGGCTCGAAACACAAATACCCCCCAACACCTCCGAAACCCCCCTAGGCTCCGAAACCCTAAACCTTCCTGGGAGAGCAAGGTACTTACGAACATCGTGTCGAGCAAAGCCAACGTCGAGTACGCTTTGGTACCGTGGCCCTGAGTTGCTTAACCTCTACACCCCTTAACCACCAATGCTCCACAGAAAGGGGCTACTGAGGGACAGGATGGCAGGGCAAGCAACTCCCCACAACCCTTCAATTCCAAAATAACCCTCTAGATCTTAAACCCCACAACCCTAAAACCGTAGAACCCTGACGAAACGCGTGGTACCAGAGGCCCTGCCTTCGCTTGCATTTGGAGTCCGCCCTGGGACTTCCCTCTGAAGGGTTTGCCTTTTGGGGGTCTAAGGGTTCAAGGGTTTCTGGTTTAATTCGGCTGTAGGATTAGCTTTATAATCTCATTCGGCGTGGTTCCTCTGCTTGTAAAAGAGAGCTTTAATGTTGCTGGGGGTTAGGGTTTCTTGGGAGTTGGGGCAGAGCGGTTTTGGGTTGCTGTGCTTGTTGCTCATCCCAGCCCAGTCAAAAGACTCGCGCCTTGACCAAAGACCCCGGAACCATTAACGAAGCGCTGGCAGAAGCAGGTGGGTTTAGGGCTTGCAGCAGGGTCAAAGGTCCCCAAAGGGCCCTAATCTTGAACACTCCCCCAAACCCCCCCCCCCCCGCCCCCACAAGGTGCAGGCCGAGTTTACCAGGGTGAAGACCGAGAAGCGGGCGCTAGACCTAGAGGAGGCAAGACAGGGTTTAGGGTTCAGGGTTGAGGGCTTTGGGCGCCGCACTGTTTGCGTTAAGGCTTTGGATGTTGGATTCCGCACGCCGGGGACTGTTGGAGATCTGGTCTGAACTTGTATGTTGAGGGTGTATACAAGGCCCATACAGCCGCGCTTGAGGCCGAGATGCTTGAGGGTTCAAGGGGATGCCCTAAAAACCTACATCCTGCACCCTAAACGCTGCAAGACATGAAGCTCGTAAATGTGTGCTGTATGGTGATTTCCCGGGTGTTTCGCTGGACCCAGCGGTGCTCTAGAACCACTCGAGATCTGCAAACTCTAGTGACTCTAGTGCCGAAGGCTACTTGGGGTTAGGGGCTCAGCTTCGCATGATCCCCAGGAGAAGGCGCGGCGAGAAAAGGAGTTGGCCGAGGCGCAGGCTGGGACATCTCCTGAGCTCGGGTCAGGTTTGGGCTCGCATGGGACCCCCCGACCACCCCCTCCCCTGAGGTGCGGGAATCCTGTGCGTTTCACCCAACCTTTGGGGCCTTGGGTGTTTGAGTGTGGAGTTAGCAACATCCGCTCAGAGCACCCTAATGCCTGAATGGATTCCGAGTGCCCTGTCTGGCGCGCCATGAACCTCACCCGATACTGAGCCACCCCTAAAGAGTTCCAAGCAGGGTCTCCTATGCCCTAAACCCTATAGCTTTTCCTCAGCCCACCACCTGAGACTCTTACCCTATGCCCTAAACCCTATAGCTTTTCCTCAGCCCACCACCTGAGACTCTTACCCTAGTCCTTTGTAGTCAAGTATGCTCATATTGTGATTAGAATCATTCGACTTCTGGTTGTACAGACTTAAAAGTTCTGCGCACTTGATGCGAAAGCAGGTTGCTGTACCACAATTGGGTATGTTTGAACTCTGTTGCGATTTTTTCATGGGATGATATCCTGGCAACCCCCCCACCACACAACAACCAAAAGATAGTGGAGGAGAATTTCTTTTGGGTTGAAAGTGGATGTTGATACCAGTGGATTCAAGAGCATAAACAGGCCTTGTGAGGCTCTGGGGGTTACGAGTGGAAGGGTGTACTAGGATGCCCGCAAGTTTCTGCCCTTCTTCCCTTTACTAGAACCTGGCAGTCCTAACCCTAAACCCTACAGCACCCCTGAGTCCCACACGTGAGGCCAAGGAGGCCTTGGCGCAGGCCACTTTGCACGGGTTTAGGGTTGGGGGTTTAGGGTTTGAGGGTCTCAAATCCCAGCTCTGCTGCCCTTCCACCCCATCGGTCTTAGGGTTTCGAGCTCAGGGCTTTACAGAAGGCTTTTCGGCTTATACAGGGTTCAGGGTAGGCTTTTGTCATGATGTGTTCGGCTTGCTGCTGTCGGTGCGCCCAGGTATCCATGTTTGGAAGAGTCCCAGGGCCTTAAAAAAGTCGGAACAGAAGCTAACCCCTAGTTTATACTCTTAAACACACCCCATGTGGGGGTAACTCACACCTGCACCTACACCTACTACTACTACTACTACTGCTACTACTACTGCTACTACTCCTACTACTACTACTACTACTACTACTACTACTACTACTACTACTACTACTACTACTACTACTACTACTACTACTACTACTACTAATCTCTTCTGATCTCTGCTGATCTCTCTTGGTTCGAGATTCAGAAACCGTGCGCAGAGGGTGAAGGCTGCGGACGTCAAGGTCATGTCCTGCTGCTCGAGGAAATCCCGAAGCGCATTGGAGCTATTTGCCGAGTCCTTGCCGGAGGACACCGGCGTTGCTCGACATTTTTGGAGCCTTTGCCAAGTTTGCCCTTGATCAGAGAAGTCTGCTGCGCGACAAGGGGCACAGGTAGTAGGTTATCGTTCAGGCGTTTGTCCGCGCATGATTGAATTGGCTGCCGGATCAAAAAAATAAAGAAGGATCAAAAACAAGTTAAACAACCGGTTTAGGGTTTAGGGTTAAGGCTAAGGGTTAGGGTTTAGGGTCTAGGGTTTAGGGTTTAGGGCCTAGGGCCCAGGATTTAGGGTTTAGGGCCTAGGGTTTATTTTGTTGTTGATCCCTTTTTATTTTTGTTTTGATCCCATTTTTATTTTGGTTTGACCCCTATCCCTGATTGAATGGCCTTTGGGTCTGTGCTCTCCGTGCACACGTGAATCCGTTAAACCTCAAACCCTCAAGCCTTAAACCCTAAACCCTAAACCCCTAAACCTAAACCCCCAGGCCTTAAACCCCAAACCCTACCATGCAGCTCAGGCTCCGATGCTCTTCCCGATGTACACGGTGGCAGTCGATTTGTTGCTGCAAATGACAAACATCCAGCCACACGAAGAGCTGAAGGCCGAGTGCAGGGCACATATTTCTGTGTATATTTCTAGATAATATATATATATATATAGATATGTGTGTGTATATGCATATATCTATATCTCTACATTCACGCATGTAGAGCATCTATCTATATATGCACATGTACAAGGCACAAAAGCAGCTCGTTGTCTTCGATGGCAACACGACGACGAAGGCAGCCTTCACTTCACACCAGTGGGTCTCGAAGCATCACCCGGACCCGGAGTTCAGGCAATATGCTGCTATTGGGAGATTGCTGAAATGTTTGATGCTATGGGGAGATTGCTTAAAAGTTTACTGGCTAGATCATAGCTAAATGGTCAACTGGTCAGATGGTTAAATGATTGAATGCTTAAACGACTTCATAGTAAGAAAGTACAAATAGAAAAGCATGCAGGGGGGATATATACCAACAAGCATGTATGTATTACATGAATGCATGTAGTTACGGAAATACATGTAAATGTTCATGTATCTTAAGATTGTATAGATGCAGGCAGATGAGGATTTTGCAGGAAGCCTTCAAGCGCCTCTTGAGCAGCAGCGGCTACGTGCCCGTAGACTTCGTTACGGAAACTCTGGTGCTTTCTGCCCAACCTCTTCCGAAGCTTGAATTCCAGACCTGTCCGTTGGTTGTCTGGTATGACTATTTTTCTATCCCGCAGTTGGAGCAGCGTCAGACCTTTGGCGCCGACGAGAGTGATGGCAGCCGACAGGCCGATGCCATCAACAGCATCCCGGCGTATGTGGCCAAGTGCAGATTCTTTCTGGCGCTTTGCCCGATGATCCAGTCGGACTCCAAAGTGTTGGGTGCGGCGACGTGGTCACGGAGGGGGTGGTGCCGGTGACTGGGCTTCTTTTACAGGACTCCAGCTAAGTTGCCAGAGTAGGGTGATATAGCAAAACTATGCAGCCTTGCTAAGGAAACTTCATTAAGGTCCTTAACAAGAACCCAGGTTAGAGAGGGCAGCGCGCGAGCTGTCTCCGGACAGCACCTGGATTCTAATTCAGAGTAGCACCTGCGTCGAACTTGTGGGCATCGTGACGTCCTTTCCGACAGGTTCTGTCGGAGAAGGTGAGTTTACGAAGGAAGAAGACCGCCGAAGACTGGCGCCGGTGATGCGGACAATTGTGATGCGCAAGATGATGCAATGTCTCAGAGCAGGAGACGTCGTTACTTTCATTCCTAGTGTTACTATTATCTGTACTGCTGCTACTATTGTTACTACTGTTACCATTACTACTGTTTTTACTAACTACTATTGTTGCTACTCAACTTCGTTACGGTCACTACTACGGTTACTCTTAATGCTAGTGTTACTAGTGTTATAGCGTCCCTGTTATGGTTTCTGCTACTAATACTATCGTTACTACTGGTACTGTTGCTACTGCTATAACTACTACTGTTGCTACAATGTGCGAGAGCAGGAGACTTTCCTGCCTTCCGGCGCACCCTCAACTTGCAGAGTGTCCACCTACGGGGGCTGGAGATCGAGCCCATCGGCGGCATCCTCCCCAAGGAGAGTGAGGCAGCGACGGTGGGTTTAGGTTTAGTGTGCAGGGTTGAGGGCTTGGGGTTTAGGGTTTAGGGTTTAGGGTTTAGGGTTTAGGGTTTAGGGTTTAGGTGCTTACGGCAGAGTGGGGGAGGGAATCCTTAAAAGAGTGCAATACAAAAGTACTCATATTCAGGAGATAGTTGATGGTGCCGTGGCACACTTCCTTCACCAGAACGGCCTCGGGCAGATCGACAAATCTGACAGCTCAGGCTGGTGGCCGTTGCACTACGCCGCGTTGTCCGGCAATACTGAGGTTATCCGAGGCCTTTTACAGCTTAAGGCTTCCGTGAACCAACGGACCTCAAGAGACGATCCCAGCCTCGGTATACCGTTATGGGCATCGGCGTTACTCCTGGCAGTTACGTACAGACACCACGATGCAGTTCAGCTGCTGATCACTGCTCGAGCCGACCCGGATGGCGGCACGTTTCCAGCAATGCTCTTTGCCGCTGTGTCGGACGACGCAGATTCCATCCGCATGCTCTGCGCAGCGGGCGGCAATCCCTTGGCAAAGGAAATATACGGGAATAGTGCCTTGTGTGGAGCGGCTGGCTATCATGCAGCGCAGGCCCTGGAGGAGCTGGTCGCGCAGGCCCAGCCAGGCCCGACGGAGCTGGGCAAAGGCCTCCACTTTGCCGCAAGTTTTCGGGGAGGCTCTGCTGACATGGTTCAGCGCCTGATCTACCTGCGAGCTGATGTCGACTTCCAACACGACATGAATCGCGATCTGAGCCGTGTGGGCTGGCTGCTCTTTACAGCCAAGTCACTGCAGCATCGGTTCGGAAAAGTCACAACGCTATCAACCTGGGCTTATCACGTTCACGGCAGCACGCCTCTGATGCAGGCCATGCGGTCGGCCCAGTACGAGGCCGCTGCGGCCTTGATTGCAAGCGGTGCCAAGCTGGAGATCCGGAACTGCCGCGGCTGGACTGCAGCCGACTTTGCGGTTGGCCAATCCATCCCAGCCTTCCTGCTCAAGGGTTTGGGGGGAGACCCATCAGAGTGCAAGTGGGTGACCTCGCTGGCGCTCGCGGACGACTTGATCAAGGAGACCTTTTGAATTTGTCTCGTGAGCTTTCGGGGCCAAAGCCAGGTAGATGCAGCCAAAGCCAGCTGCTGAAGCCTCTGTTTGGTTGCCTTAAACCTTTTCACTTGCCTTTCGCGAATGCGACTTGGTGTCACATGACCAGGATTCGACAAGAAACCCAAAAACTTTATGTTCACCTCACCCCTCACCGTGCTACAATTCAAGCCCCGGCAGGAGCCTCACCCATCCTTGAAGAACAGCTCAATAATATTAGCATATAATACCAGCGTTCGAGGTTGTCGGGTTTAGGATTAGCGTTTATAGGGTTTATGCTTAGGGTTTAGGATTTATGGTTTAGGGATGTTTAGGGGTTTGCCAGGGTTTGCCATTGGTGGGTGTGTCGATGTAAAATATACTTCCTGGTCCAGAGTTCATTGGTCAGCAGAAGCTGAACTTGCTGCGAGCCCTCTTTCCACTTCTCTATGTTGCAATTCAACTGCGTGGGCGGTGAAGTAGAAGCAGAGAGCGAGAATACAAGAATCGAGTAGACGGATTATTTCGTGATGGAGCCATCCGCTAAGGGAATGCTGGTTTTCTGGTAGTTGGATCAAAAATGTCGCATTAACACGCTAGCATTGGCGAAGGATCGTGTAGTAGAACAACAGTATACAACAACGTGGACCTCCAAGTAAAGTTATTTCAGTTCCCCTCAAACCCTACCTTGATTTCGCCCTTTGGACTTCAGAAATTTCCCATACATGTATGCACATATACATATGCGCACGTATATAAGTATATAACCCTAAACATCCCTAAACCCTAAACCCTAAAACCTAAACCCTAAACCCTAAACCTTAAACCCATTTCTTCTTTCCAATTTGTGTACAGAAACCACCCAAAACTCAGAGCCAGAGGCGCGGGCCGCCGAGGTGGGATGCGACTTCCGGAGGTTCAGGTTGTTTAAGGGCTTGGGGTCTTTAGGGTTTGGGGTTTAGGGTTTAGCGTTTAGGGGGTTGGTTAAGGGTGCAGGGGCTTAGGGCCTAGAGGCTTTCCAGGCGTTAAAGTGAGCTTCCCCCCTTGGTAAGTCGGGTCATAGGTAATGTCATTGAAGGCTACCTGTCCCTTATCTATCGTCAGTGTTATGTTTGGACCCCTCGTTGTTGGTCTCTTCGACGTCTAGTTGCATGGGCTGTCTCTGCTGTTAGTGTTTCAGGGGTTTCGATGTTTTTGAGGCTCTAGTTTCAGGCGTTGGGAGGGAGAGGGGAGGGGGGAATGGGTTTCAGGGCTTGGGGTTTAGGCTCAAGGTTCAGAGCTTTGGAATCCTAAACCCGTCTAAGTTCTTCTAAACCTTAAGTCCGTTTTAGGGTTTGGGCTGCAGAGTCCACGCCGCCTCACCACGTGGCAGACAGGAAAGCGCTCGAGCCATCGAGAAAATGCACGTGTCTCCGATGCAGCCTTGGGTTCAGCGTGTTGGGGTCCAGGGTTTTTCAAGCTCAGGGCACGGCAATGAGCTGTTTAGGCTTTCGGCTCGCCGGGTTAGGGTTTAAGAGTTCTGATAACAGGGCGGGTCTTCTCTCAGGATTTGTGCACACGATGAGCTAGGCATATGCCGGCGGCCGGCGTTCAGAGCTCAGATCAAGAAGGGTGGGGTGGTGTTAAGTTCTGTGATCCGTGGGTTATAGGGTTTTGAGTCTTGGAGGTTTCGCCCTGAACCCTAAGCCCTAAACCATAGATAGGATCTGATTCCAAATTCGAGGACGCCTTTCGTGATCTTCTGACTCTGCTTTGCGATGCCGTCGTGGAGATCGACGGCGTGACTTGGACGCACTCTGGGGAGCTCCCAACCCCTGACTTAGGGTTTCGAGCTGAAACTCCAAACAGCTGAACCTTGCAGTCCTTCACCATGGGGTTCTAGAGGGGAGTTGGGTGATAGAATGATCGAGTCTAGGGCTTAGGGGTAAAGGGCTTTCGAGATGTCCGTTAGCCATAAGCCCCGCACACCCTAACTCCTCGATCCTCAGCCAGAACCTGGCTTGGGGTTTCGTGGGTAATCGTGATGGTCTGATTTTGCTCCCTCACTTTCAGCCCTGCTTTTAGATTTACACGTGCACCTCCAAGCATATGTCCTATCTTCTGTCACCCGAAGCACAAAGCCCTAAACCCTGACCCTACAACCCTTCCGTTAGGCCTTGAAAGAGCGTCGAGGCTTGGTTCGAAGGGGTTTCACGGAGTTGAAGGTGATTCAGAGACGTAGGGGTTCAAGGGCTTAGGGGTTCGGGGATTTTCGGGGATCCTGGGGGGTATACGAAGCTGGCCATGGGGCTTTGGCTTTTCTCTTCGGGGAACATGGTCGTTTAAGGATTCCTATGTTGTATGCCCCAAACCTCTGCGCGCCGCGAGAATACCTCAATCCATGAACCCCAGGGTGTGGTCACGCTGTTTGAGGATAAACTCTAGAAAGCCAGCCTCTTGTCTTTGAACAGCCAGAAGGAGCTGCTCACTTTTCAGGGTTTAGTCTTTGACTTTGAACCCTGGTCCCGAAGCCTCAGCGGTTGAGGGTTTTTGGCGTGGGACTCCCCTAAGCCTTTGCAGATTGCAAAGGTTCAGGGTCTTAGAGCCCTATATAAACCCTAAACCTTAAACCCTAAACCCTAAACCTTGGGGTGAAGAGTGGCAGGACATTCGACTGCTGGATCCTGGCAAGCTTTGCCTTGTCCTCTTCCAGGATCACAAGAAGGCGCCCCATCAGGAGCTAAGGTCGTCAGGAATTCCGAAGACCGCGAACCCGAAACCCTCAACCTCACACCTGGTTACTGATAATGGTGAGTGTATTTAGGAGTCCTTATAAATTTTTGGTGAGGGTCCATATTGGGTGTCCTTCCGGGGAGTCTAGATATACAAAACCCCTTTCGTTTGATGTTGTGTGCTTGCTTGCCGTGCTTAGCACAAATCTAAGCTGTCTCACCTTCACATGATTCACGACCTCGAGTCCGCAGAGCTAGAAATACAAACCCCACTTCACATCAGTTCTAACAAGCCCCAAGGCCTGAGGCGGCATCATGAAGCAGTTCGGGTTGATGGTGAAGCCACGAGGTTTCGGTTGTTGCGCAGGATAGTATAGGCAGGAATCCGCCTCCCCTAATTCCAAACCCCCCCACCCCAACAACATGATTTTGGAGTAACGACCGGCGTATCGGGGCACGGTTCAAAGCTTTGGCCGTATCTGCCAGCAAAGGAATGCAAAGCCCAACTGGCGTGTGAAGCAATCGAAGCGCGCGGCCCCTGTAGAAAACTCCCTGTAGAAACTCAGCGTGGAACAGCCTGAGCCCTCAGCCCTGCCATGCCCTGCCCTACAGGCCCTTTTTGAGTTTCGGCCAAAACTCCAGCAGCACATGTCACCCTCAAGGGCTTGTTATGGCATGTTTCCCGAGAAGAGGGTCCCGTTTCGTTATCGGGTGCCCAGAAACCCTAAACCATCCTAAACCCTAAACCCTACGTACCCTAAACCCTAAACCCCTCACCTTTGGATTTCACAAGGGTGTGCTGAAGCTCAGGATCTGATGTCCAGGGATCTCAGGAACTTCCTCTCCAAGGACGACGTGCAGCCCCCAGAACCCCAAACACCCTAAAGGACACACACACACACACATGCGGTTTAGGGGTTAGGGTGTAGGGTTCAGGGATTCGGGTTTTGTGTTTTGGGCTATACGCTCTACATAAACCCAAACCAGGCATTTTTTGGATTTGCTGGACGGCCAGCAGTAGTTTTTTGTTCTTGTGGGATCGGATCCCTAAACCTGATTGTGGCTGAGGGTTTAGGGTTTAGGGTCAAGCTCCATGTCGGCTGTGTGCCCTTTCAGGGCCCTGGACCCTGGCGCCCATAAAACTTTCAGGCACTTGCAAGCAGCACACCACCGCAAACCCCGAATCCGAAACCCTTAGGCCCTGCCTGGACCCCCAAAGCATGTTTTAACAAACAGCCCAAAACCCATAAAAGGGCTATTATTTTGCATATTTTGGGGCTTTAGGCAAGCACAAGACCCTCACAGCAGCCGCAAATCACTCGATCAAGCCCAACAAAGGACACGGGAACCGAAAACGTGAGCCCTAGGGGACCAAGGCATTCAAACATTCGCTCCTGAACCCTAAACCACAACCCCCAAACCCAAAGGTTTAGGGTTTAGGGTTTAAGGTTTCGGGTTCCCTTAAACCACAACCCCCAACGTCCAAATCCTAAAGCCCTCAGCCCCAATCCCTTAGAACCCAGAACCTGGAAGGTTCCGCGCTTCGAAGAGTGGGTGCAAACCCGGGAAATGCACACGAACCCGATATCGGCCCCCTTGCGCGGAGGATGGTAGATCTTGATGATGGTTCTTGTGGCTTTCTGATTCTGATTATGCGTTTACAGTTTCATTATCGGTCTGTTTCTCCGTATGTTCTATTACTTTCACTTCTGCGAGCGTTGGTGGGTTAGACCTTTTTGATTTGCGGTATAAGGTTCTAGTTCTTATTAGCTGTTGTTGTTTTTTTTTTTTTTTTTTGGGGGGGGGGGGCTTTGCTAGCCAAGCTCGCAGCTTCGGCTTATGGATCATGGCTTTGTGTGTTGAACTGCTGAGGGATGGTTGGAATCCACCCATTGCGGTTCTTAGATCTCACGTCCTGTGGTGCAGGTTTGTGCGCAGGCTTTGAGATTGACCCTCATCCCTCCACTTCTATAGACCCTAACCCCTTTACCCGAAATTTTCTGAACCGAAGCCCTATAAGGCTCAAGACTCGAAGGTCTTAGACTGAACTTGGCTTGGGGCTTCGGGGGCCGAATTTAACAAACACAGGTTTAGGGCTCCGGGTTTGGGGCTCAGAGCCTATGGTTTAGGGAGTTTAGGGTTTAGGGCACATGGGATGGACTTAACTAGCTCACCTTTCAGAAGCCCTGATAAAGTCCATGGACTTCAAAACCCCGACAGCTTTGTTCCACAGAACCCTCGAATCTCGACTCCCACCCTAAATGCCTGTCCGCACCCAGGTTACCATGATCGACTCCTACTCCATTCGTATCCGCCCCTGGGGCATCCCACAAGATTGGGTTTATGGCTTATGGATTGGGGGATTGGCCTCTAAACCCTACAAACCCTGAACCTTGTGGGATTCAAGCTTGGGGGGGGGGGGGGGGGGGGGGGGGTGTGAAGGACCCCAGGCCCTTAGTCCCTTTTTTTGTAGGGTTCATTTTTCCCTTGTAAAGCCCCTTCAAACCAAAAAGTGCACCCTTGTCATTCCTAGGTTTCTCTTGGCTCTAGAATCCCTGGTCCCTGACCTTGGGTTGCAGAGGGTCGAGAAGGGGCATGCTTTCCCTTTTATGGGGCCAATACGAAGGGACCATGTGACTACCCTTAGCCTTAGACACAGCCAGGGATGACGATCTACATCGTTGCCATCGACCACCCAGGGGACGCCCCGACGTACGTCCTTGGAATGACGGAATCGCAGGTCTGAGCTGCCGCCCTGAACCTACAAGTACTGAACCCAAAAGTGTGGGTTGAGGGTTTGGGGTCTAGGGTTTTAGGGTTTTTTGGGCTCGGGGTTCAGGTTTATTAGGTGTCCTGCATGTCTCAGCTATCGGGAAGCTCTTCTTCCTTGTTCTTTGGTAGGGAGCTTGGCGCTTCTAGCCCTATACATCCCTTCAAAGGACTATCTAGGGCACCAGGTCTTGACAAGATATGAAGCTCCTGCCAGCACACCGGACCCTAGACCCTAAACCCTAAGCTGGTGTCCGTTGGGGCCCTGCAGGACCAGCCCCAGGTGCTAGTGTGTTCGAGCAAAGGAGCAGTGCCAACGTACGTTCCCGGTTTTTCGGGGCGGCGGCGGCCGCCGCCCCCTGCAATAAGACTTACGAACTGTCTCTTGCGGAGCACCTGGTCATCCAGGTTCCTTCTCTAAGAACAAAAGAAGTCGTTGTGCCCAGACCCACGCATGAAACCTTCAACCCCGGGCCCAGACGAGAACCTATGCCTGATACTTATAACGAAGCTCATGCCCCCGAAGCCTTAAGTTGCGACAGGACGATGGTCGCGAGCCGGAGCTTCATGTGGTTCCACCGCCACCTGTGCCGCCTCCCACACAGGCAGGACGGGGCTTAGGCAGGCTTGAGATTAGGGCCCTAAACCCCAAACCTCAAAACCCTCACACCTTAAACTCTAATTAACTCTCCAATCGAGGGGCCACGTTGTTGTGTTGCATGTTTGTGCTATGTTCCACTTTGCGAGCTTGTTGACTTCAATTTTTCTGTCTTACTTGCGGAAGGCTGATCGCGTAGCGCTGTGGAACTCCATGTCTATGTGCGTAAGGAATCTGGCGTCACAGGGCATGCACCCTCCATGTCACCCACGTCTACAGCAGCGGGCCTTTGAAATCGGCACATTGCAGAAGGTGCTTAGGATAAACCCTCAGCACCCCTCAACCGCAAGCCGCAAAACCCAAGACCCTACACCCTATAGACCCAAAACCCAAACCTCAGCTCCAAGGACTTGCCAGTGTTTAGAGTCGAACGGCCCGAGGACACCTCAGCAACTCTACGTGATGGTCTTAGGGCTAAGGGCTAAGGATTGGGGCCAGGGCTTCTGGCTAGTCTGTTGGGGCATGTTATGTTTTCCCTTACTAGGGTTTGGACTTGGGGATGTAGGATTTGGGGGGTTTAGGCTTTGGGGGCAGGGTTTGGGGTTGGGGGTTTGCGCTGGGGGTTTCGGGCTGGGGGCTTAGGGCTTGAGATTTTCGGGTTTAGCGCGGGAGCATTGAGCTTGGACCTGAGCCCCAACCACCCATTCAAGAGTATGAAGCTCACTGCAAGTTGCAGCATGTGTCGGTTGTCGTCATGAGCGTCCCTGTAAGTAGCTGTTGAGGAGGAAACCTTCAACCCAAAGGTCAACATTTTTCACTTACTCGAAGTAAACGCAGCCAGTCTTGGTCTCGATGATACGACTCGTTGCCGAAGAGAGCCTTCATCGTGTTTAACCACCCGCGCCAGAGTGTATAAGATAGGAGCCTAGATAAGTGCCCAGAATTCCCCTTGTGATTTTAATGCTGCGCAACCCGCCTCAGAGAGGGGCCGGTGCCTGGGGGGGCAGGGGGGGGAGGGGCAAGTGCTTGTGGGTGTGGGTGGGGGGGGGGGGGAGGGTGGGGGGTGGGGGGGAGCGAGAGTTCCAGTCTGTACATGGCTTGCTGCGCTATCAGCTGCAGTGTTGAGTCGTGCTCTGCATGCCATTGCGAACACGCATGTTGCACATGTTGTGCTGCACGTTCAAGAGTTGACCCTCAAGCTTTCCAGTTGGTCAGCCAACAGTTGAGGGCAGCCTCTGCTTGTTTGTTTCAGAATTTTGCCCCGCCCTCCCGCCGCAAAGAGGGTTGTGGCTTGTTTTTGTGTGCCTGGGGGTTTGTGTGTGTTGTCCCCAGCACTGAGTGTCATTGCAGCTTCACATGCAAAGCACGTTCCTTTCGGATCTGCCAGACTCTATCGGCCTCGTGGCTGGAAAACAAAGTTCGATGCGACCGAGAGTTCCAGTCTGTGCATGGAAAGCTGCGGTAAGTTGCATGGCTTCTGTTTGCAGGTGTTCTACACGCGGGTATGGCAATAATCAGACCTGTAATCCTTAACACGAGATGCTGCGCCCTGCGCTGCGTCTCTCTGGCCTCTCGCCTGCCCCTTTCCTGCAGGAGCTAGCTGCGCCGATGTCCGTCGCCAAAGCGACACCGCCCATAAGAGAAGGCACCCTAAAACCGACTGCGCAATACCTCTATAAGTCCCAAGCTTTAAATACTACCTCAACCCCAAAACCCTAAACCCTGAACCCTAGGCAGCTTCATCGTTAAATTCTGAACAGTGTCGCAAGCAGGGTCCCTTGAAACCCTCAACAGGTTCCCCCCCGCCCACACACACCTCTGCAGGGTGAGGGTTCAGCAGGGTTTATGTTGAGGTTCTGGGTTCAGGATTTTCTGGCCAGGTTCAGCGTAGACGGAGCTTCTGGAGTTCAGGGTTTGGGTTTTTTGGGTTTCAGGGTTTTTGAGCACGGGGGGCGGGGGGGGTGGTGGTTAGGGCTCTCGAAGCTTGGAGGATGTAGGCTTCAGGGTTCGGAGTGCAGGCCGTTAAGAGTTGTCGCGAAAGCTTGCTGCCCCTAAAGCCCGAAAGCCTCACAAAATTCAAAGTATGTATAAGGAGCATGATTTTATGTGTTTTTGGCGCTTTGGAGTAGGGTTTAGAGTTGAGGCTTTTTTCAGTTCCAACGAAAGCTCCATGTAGCTAGGGCGCCCCTCCCTGTAGCATTACCAGCCTCGATGCCTCCAGCAGGCACCCACCCAGCCTACACAGAGATCCAGCCCATGGACAAGCAAGAACGCCTGCAGTCGCTGCTGGTCTCCTTAGCTTAAGGACTTGTGAACCCGATGCAGCCTTATACCCTCAGCCCCAAATCCCGAAGCCCCTAAGCACTTAAGCCCCTCAACCCTGGACCCCTCTGAACCTCGAGGTTGTTGGGGTGCAGTTTCCGTTGGGTTTACGCTTGGCATCTCTCCTATGATCCTCCGCCAGCCGAACATGCTCACTTCTGGGGCTCGAAATAGGGTCTAGGGCTTATAAGGTTCAGGGCCCGGGGGCTTAGATGCCCACATGGGCAGTTCTTGCAATGATGAGCCCGAGCTGTAAGGCTCTGCACATAAAGGATCCTCAAAAGGGACGATCCTCCCACATCAAGCTCAGGGCTTAGGATTCAAAATTTATAGACTTAAGGGCTCTTGCCGGGAATTCGGGGAGTTTGGGTACCCCGTTACAACGCCTTGAAGGCTTGCATACGGGGATGTGCATTACTTAGTTCTCCCAAATCTTAACCCCACCCAACTCCCAGAACCCTAACCCTAAACCCTAAACCCCAACTCCCAGAGCTCGTAGGTAGGACTTAGGAAGCAAGCGCCCAACCAGGTTGCTACCGCTGCTCTGGTGCTGGCCAGTGCCGCAGCAGCGCCGAGGCACTCGGAAGTTGGAGGGTTTAGGGTTTATAGGGTTTATAGGGTTTATAGGGTTTATAGGGTTTATAGGGTTTATAGGGTCTATAGGGTCTATAGGGTCTATAGGGTTTATAGGGTTTATAGGGTTTATAGGGTTTAGGATCCAGAGCTTAGGGTTTGGGGCTTCGGGGCTAGGATTTAGGGCTTCGGGTTTAGGATTCAGCATTTAGAGTTCAATGAGGTATTTGCAGGAGAATATACAGGAGCTTCCGATGAGGCCCCCTAGTTTCCATTTTGGCCAAAGAATCTCTCGTAGATTGTCCTGTCAAGTTTTCCCGTCAACAACCTTCAGACGCCGGAAGTTCCAACTCCATACTAAGCCCTAAACCCTACGGCCTAATTTCTTGCTTTGCAGGGTTTGGGGCGTTGCCCACTTATTCCTGCCCAGGTTGCTCCCCTCCCACCAACATTAAACATCTTTTTCAGAACATTGCCCTGAAATTGTCCTGGCTAAACTTCGGGGGAAGAATAGTAAGGAGATGGCCCATCATCAGAATCACAGGGGCTCTGGTTTGCAGGATCAGGCTTTAGGATGTAGGGTTGATCTAGATTATTCCTCCTCACCTTAAGCCCTATAATCCTGAACCCTGTCATGCCCACAGGCTGCTGCGAGACACATGCCCTCATCGATGAGGCGCCAGGGGAACCCCGAACCCCGAACCCCGAACCCCGAACCCCAAACCCCAAACCCCAAACCTTTGCCAGGCTCAGGAGCTTCTTGCAGAGCTCCGCCAGATAGATTGTCGGGATGCGCCACGCTGCTGCTTTGGCCGGAGAAAGCCTAGAAGGTATCATATTCTGCGTGTATATATATATAATTACATATATATATATATATATAATTATATATATATATGTACATGTATATACATGTGTGTGTGTGTTGTAGTGGACCGCTCAGTGGCGGTTCCTCGTTTTGGTGAAGCGTTCAGGGCTCAGGGTTTTTACCACTACCTTGGCACAGAATGTCTTGTGATAGGCAGCTTCTTGTACAAGACTCCCCATGCCATTAGGTACTCTCCGAAAGTCTTCAGGACCGCGCATATGAGGGCCCAGAGGGTTCCGGGCCTAGGGATTTTTCAGTATCTAGTGAGTAGGGTTATATACCGAGTGTAAGAGAAGAAGGCTCAAGGCAAGCACGTCACCAACTCGCGAAAGCTCTGCAGTTCAGGATGTTCCCCCTTCTTCCTGTTCGGGTCAGGCTCCATTATGCACTAGCAAATAAGGCACCCTCTGATACTTGGCAGCCTAGCAAAGCACCACGAAATTGAGGTGGCGGCGCGCTGTATTCGAGCTGAATCTAGAAACTCTAAATCTTGAAGTCTTAAATCTTACGATAGCAAGTAAAAAACCAAAAAAAGACATTTGAAATTCACTCATGTATGTTGGGAATTGGCAATGAAACACAAATGGCGAAAAATCCCAAACTCGTGCCGATCGCAAGGTGTCTCAATCTTCGTTTCTCCGCTTTGTGTGCCAGGCCTGTACTTACAGGTAACCTTTTGATTTCATAGACAATGATGAACGATTCTCCTAGCCCGGGTATAGGGCTTTAGGGACCCGGAGCCCCGAACCACCCTAACCACCCTAAACACCCTAAACCCTACCATAAACCCTAGATGTTTCATCATGGCCCAGGTTTGGTGTGGCAGTGTCCGAGTTGTGCCTTGGCGGCCTCGAGGGGCTTGGCGAGGGCGTAGAGATTGGAGGGTCTAGGGTTTAGGGTTTAGGGTTTAGGGGTTTAGGGTTCACGGTTTAGGGTTTAGGGTTCAGGGTTCAGGGTTTAGGGTTTAGGGTTAAGTAGTAGAGTATGTAACCTTTTAACCTTTTTGGGTAAAATGATCACTTTTTTATTCCCAAAGGTTGACCTTTAGTTCCCCTAAGTACTGGACAACGAAGTTGAAGGTTGCAAGGGGCATGTGGGTTGAGGGTTTAGGGGCTCTGGAGTTCTAGGGTGTGTAGGGCTTTAGGGGCCGTGCAGAGGGCCTGGCATGAGGGCATAGAGGGTTGGGGGAATTGATCCCAATTCTCCATTCTGTGCCACTGTTCTGACGTGCATGGCGGAGCCAACCCCCTAAAGAGCCCGAAAGACTGGGGCCGCAGGTTTCGGGCTTTGTTTGCTCGCAGGCTAAGCCCCTTAAGGCCTGGGGTACACGGGCGCATCCGGTATCCTTCGTGTCCGTGGCCTATCTGAACCCTTGAACTTGCCCTCAGCTCCTGAGTGGACTCTGCTTTCTGGCAGCTGTTTAAAGACTCCGCCCTACACTGTGCAGGTAATGAACGGGCTTGCGTTGCTGAAGTAGAGGTTTGAGTGTTCCCCATGCATCATCAGAACCGAAACCCTACTTAGTTGTAGAGTAGGTAAACTTTAACCCTTTAGGGCAACACAATCCCCTTATAATACCTTGAAATCCCCTAGGTACTGGACAACTAGGCCTAAATCCCTAAATCCCAGCAGCTTGGAGCCATCCGCGACTCTCTTGCAGGTAAGCTTAAAGGGGTCCCGCAAGATCGCCAGCACTTCGACGCTGAGCACTACGCTCCCGGGCCTGCAGCTTCATGGGGGTTTTAGGGTTTGGGGTTTATAGGGTTTAGGGTTTAGGATTCCCTACTCACTGCCCCCCCCTCCCCTCCCCAAACTACATTCCTCCACCGCGAGATGGCAATGGCAAGAGGAATTCAGCTCAGTTAAGCTCAATTCAGCTCAATTGAGGCGGAACCTTGCGGGGAGTGTGGTGGTGCTGGGGGGAGGGGGAAGGGGGGGTAGGGAATCCTATGCTACGACCCAGAGTATTCCCTTTTTCCCTTTTTTAGGGTTTAGGTTCCCTTATAAGCCGCTCCCCTTGAAACCAAAAAGTACCCCAAGCCCTAAGCCCTAAACCCTCACCTCTCAAACCCTATACCCTAAACCCTAAACTCCTAAACCCTAAAACCGTAACTCCTAAACCCTAAGCTCTTCCTAGCCTATTCCTGGGTCTAGTATGTTCTGACACTGTCAGGGCTACAAGGCTTGACGGTGCAGGCTGCGACCTTTGATTCGGTGGAGCTCCGAAGCCCTTACAACCTGAAGGCACAAATCTAAAGGGTTTAGGGTTTGGGGTTTGGGGTTTAGGGTTTGGGGTTTGGGGTTTGGGGTTTAGGGTTTAGACTCACAGGAGGAGAGTTGTAACGGGGGGTCTAAGGGGGGTATATGGGGGGGGGGGAGGTATAAAGTACACAGGGGGCGTATAAGAAGGTTTTTTGTTTGGCGGGGGGGGGGGGGGGGGGTATTAAGGGACTCTGAAGCCCTACGGGTTTAGGGTTTAGGGCTAAAACCCAAAGTGGTGGAAGATCAAAACTTAAAGACTGAAAGCTTAAGGGTAAGCCTCGACATGCCCAAAAGCCCTCAACCTCTTCAACCCCTAAACCTTTAAAGCCCTCTTGTTCCCCACAAAGTGTTTGGAGTGCGGGGTTTCCAGATTTAGGGTTTAGGGCGGTTTAGGGTTTAGGATTCAGGGTTTAGGTTTAGGGTTTTTAGGGTTTTTAGGGTTTTAGGGTTTAGGGTTTAGGGTTTTTAGGGTTTAGGGTTTAGGGTTTAGGGGCCTTGAAACCCCGAAACGCCAAACCCCTGCTTTAGGAAGTAGGTCTTGCCTAGGGATCGCCCCGGAGAAGCCACAGGTTTGCGGCCGGTGTGCCGCCTGGGAGATGCTCTTCTGAAGGACCTGCTGCCCTGGTCTCAGGGCTAGGGTTTAGGGTTTTGGGTTTTGGGTTTTGGGCTTTGGGCTTTGGTGGTTTGTGAGGGAGGCAGAGGCTTTCAGGGCAAAGCCAAAGCCCCTTGCAACCTCCTTCGCATGTGAGTCAGGGATGAACTATATCCCCATTGGGAATTATTCTTTCTTTTTGTTTATATAAAACCCAAGAGGATATTAAAAATATTGTTTTTATTCAAGTTCTAAGGGGAGCATAGTGAAAGGGCAGGGCTGGTTAGCCCACCTGGTCATCAGGATGTGCACTTCCGCTGGTGCTGAATCGGACGCGAGGGCAAGAAAGAAGATCCAACATGTTGCTCTAGAGGGTTCATGAGTAAGGTTTGGGGTTTAGGGTTTGTGGACTCGGGTTTTTAGGTTGTAGGTTTTGGCTTCAACTACGCAATGGCTAATTAGCATACGTAAGCAATCAGAACCCCTGAACCCTGATTCCAGAAGCCTTGCGCCTTTCAGGCCCAGAATCCCGAACTCGACTTGTACATTCCGGGGCTTAGGGTTTAGGATTGGGGTTTAGGTCCTAGTAAGGCAACAGATTCTTGGTAAACGGGAATCTAAGCACAGCGAAGAGAAGAAGCAGGTTGATAAGAGAGGGCGTGGGCCTGAGGCTTTAGGGTTATAGGC